TATCACCCTTTAAAAGCCAAAAGGGGGTAACATGTTAGCAAACAATTTACCTTTCCACACATCCAGTAGTCACAGACCAACATCAGCAATTGTTGGCATATTTGGTTTCAGCTTTTGATTTGATCTGCACCAACTCTTGAGAAAAATATCCATCTCTTCAGCTGCTAAATGCTCCACTATGTTCACCAGCTAATTGCTAACTTCATGTGTCTGGTGCTGAGCAGGTAGCGTACAGTGGATTCATCAGAGCTTTTGTTTTTTGCACAGAACAGCCTGCTGCTGTGGTTAGACATGAGGCTGATGAAAGCGGTGAGACCGAATCAGACCAGTAAGGTTTGCTGCCATAAAACCAAAAGAGTGAGTTTAAAGACACTGAATATCCGTCGGATGATACCTGTCTGGGAGTTCATCACTGTGAGCGACACCTTTTAGCACCATTTGACCCGTTGTTGATGTAAAAATATCAATTAGTGAAGCTTTAAGGTAAAGTGCTCAACCCTACCAGAAAGGAAACTGCCCACATTAGAACAGAAATCAAGCTATTTCCCCTAAAAATCACAACCTAATCTGCTTTTGACCTTGTCACCAAACTACAGCTGACCCCTTGCTGGACAGTAGCAGCCATATCAGACGGCAGACAGGGAGGGGGACTTCGCTGCCCTCTAGATGCACCCTGTAGCCTGCAGCCTTGGGGAGCCCTGGTAAAGAGAGATTAGCAATGTGTGTGTGTGTGTGTGTGTGTGTTTGTGTGTGTTTGTGTGTGTGTGTGTGTGTGTGTGTGTGTGTGTGTGTGTGTGTGTGTGTGTGTGTGTGTGTGTGTGGGGACCCCGTACAGAAGCTCTTCCCATTCTTTCTGTCTCCCCCTTTTCTCTCTCTTTCCACTGCTCTAATCCTTAAAACCTCTAAATCCTCCCTCCTCTCCCTCCTTCTGTGCCCCAGGTCGCGATTTCTTCGTCTGCCCATCTGGTGTCAAGGAACAAACTCTGCCCAATCTGCACCTTGTATTGTGCCGTAGATAAGAAAAAAATGTTAAACAATACTATTACTAATACCGTTTACTTGTTCTTCTCTGCCTTAATATCAACAACAGTGCCTCCATTAACCCCACCCAACACCCCCCCAGCCTTAAGGCCCAGTGTGTACGTCCACCCCTGTCTGAAATGTCTACAACATCTCTGCTGAGTGCATCAATATTTTACACATTGCTTCTATATTTACATTTTGGAAACCTCAAAAGCTCCCAGGGGTGGATGGGAACTTGGAGCGTTGGGCTGCAGAGAAAAGATTTCCTGTTGTGTTTAGACAAGTTGTTTTTTTTTTTTTTGTTTGTTTGTTTTTTTATTGACGTCACATCGTCGGAGAGGTTGGTCACTTCTGTGCTCACTCTGACAGCTCTCCTCTGCTAACATCCTCTGGATTAGGAAGTCAATGGAGGTTTAGCAAGTCAATGAAGGAAGTCTCTGAAGTCTATGATGTATTAGATGTGGACAATGTGTTCGTTAATGCTCTGAATCAGAGATGGAAAAGCCCAGGTGCTGGCTTCTCATGACCTGACCAGAGCCAATCATTAGCCCAGAACCAGGTGTTCTGGCTCAGCAGCAGACCAGGACACTTCAGTGTCTCTCATGCTGGAGGTTAAACTCATGACAGATAAAGTCCCATATCAGTATAACCTTATCACTGCCAGCTGCTCAGGTCTCAGGCAACGCTGCAACCACATTGGACAGTACTGACCAGGTGGAATAGTCTTGACGTAAGGTACAAAATGTTCTTTTTGGATGTGGATTCTCACTGCCGGGGGAAAGCAGCGTTGGCTGTTATTTATGGTCGCCTCTGCCAATGAAGATGAATTTCATAGATAAGGAGGTTGCTTTGAATTATAATGTTTACAAGAAACACTAACATATGGTTTAAAGGTGCATATGTTTGTTGCCACCATGTGAGAATAGTGATTTCATTGGCTCTGTGACCAAATGAAGCCTTTTAAATTCAAATAACATACCTGTTGCACACTACTACATGAAAGTATTGATGATGCCCAATCACTGTATAATATATACAATATTAAAAGTACTTAGGAAATTGGAGGGGCCTACAGCACTAATTCTGAACACCTTGTTCACGATCTAATATTTTGATTCATATTCTTATACCACACTGTAACAGAGTTTGTTTCTGCCATAAATGCAAAACAAAAAACAACATTACAAATAATACGTCCAGTTTACACTAGATTATGGAGATATATCCTGTATTCTCATTGAACTGCAGCTACCCTTAAACCACAAGACACACGATAATGTTCATCACTCCAGATACATAAAAATGGTCATCACCTACATCTGGGAGGCTCGAGCACTGGGCATTGTGTTTTCAATTATAAAGCCCTATTATCTACAAGATGCAATTAAACATTGTCAGTGAAATTTGAAGCTAACAACCGTGCAGTAAACACAACATACCTTGAAGTTGAAGAGACACATTTCCTGTAAAGACTTCACAAATTTACTTTCTAGTATTTAAAATAGTATTTCTGAATGTTTTCATTAGTGTGTCTGTGTATGTGATGGTTGGTTTTTTTTACTGACTCATATCATTGTGATCTTATATGTAATTCGATCTCAGTATATAACAAGCCAAATTAATAAAGTTTGACTAAGTAATAAACATGCTCTGTCCTTGGAGACCTTGTTGCTCTCCATAGTTGTGACAACAAGTGTGACAAGTGAAACAATCACATGACCAGTAAGGACTTATCTGACTGTAAGAGGTTGATGTGAGCACATGAAAGTGTCCACCATTAACAGAAAATGTGTGTATCTTCCTTCCTTTCTTTTATCCCTCACTCATTTATTCTGACCCATATAAATTAACTTTGGAAAAAAAGGGTTATTCTGTTCCTATTTTTACTACTAAACTACTGTATGTTGTGCTCGCTGGTAATGTCAGCATTCTAGCAATTAAAGCTCATTATTCTATGTGAAGTCATTCTGGAGAGCAGCATCAGCTAAATGACCAAAATGTAAAAAATGGAGACCAATTTTTAGCCGGAGGTACATTAAACTAGGAGTGAAACATTTAGTTATTCTCTTAAGCCAGGTCTAGAATTGTACGGTCTAACCGTAATAAAGCATATTCTGATGCACAGAGCGGCTCTTGCGTGTATGTAAAGTCCATATAAAGCTTTCCCCTTGATAACACCACATCGCACCTGTCTCCTCATATCCATTCAGTATCCTGCAAAATAAACTGTTGTGAATATTAAAGACCAGCAATTATTTGAATGGTTTTCTGAAATCACATTTCTCCTTTGTCCATGCTGTGCTGGTCCCATCAATGATTAGCCAGATGATGAAGCCATTATTGACTGAACCTGAGCCTGTGCCTCATGGAACATTAAATACATCACTTCCTCTCAAGGGGCTCGAAAGCAGCTATCACCCAGCATCCCTTTATGTTGCAGTCAGGAAATGAAAACAGCCATTAGAATCAGACCAAGCCAGAGTGCTTATAGGATGCTGAACGCCTGCAACGACAATATCCTTTATGATAAATCCAGAAACAGGGCCCTCACGTGTTTGAGTGCAGGTGTGGATAGAACAGATTAGCATACAGGCCCAGCTCAGTGCAGGTTCTGGTGGTTCAAATTGCCATGGCTTGTGGTGGAAACCCCCCAGGCATCAAACTGCAATGTAATAAAGCCTTTGTAAGAGGCAGCTGAAGCACACCCAGCCCTCATCACACTGTAGTGTATCTCTAACATCATGTGTTTGTGGAAATGGTGAATTTCAAGTGACCTATAGCTATCTCCTGCGATTTAACCATGATGCTCCTTCAGTGGCTTGCAGTTTCTGCACAGCCCATAGCATCTCTCTGAGACCTATCGCTGCTTATTCTGATTCTTACACAGCTCCGATTCTTAGTGTTTGGCGATTGTTTGACATCTATTCAGTATACAGAGGGTTTTCAAAGGTGCCACAATGTAGTCGGTGTTTTTTACTCTGTATCGTGTCCGGTTTAGGCCTGCTAAGATTCCCAACCACACCCCATCTTCTTCTCTCCGCCGAGGGGAGCGCAAATGATCGTACACACCGCCCCACCACCGTCCGCTTATAAAACGGTTTGTGTCGCTCCAGGCCTGTGAGCTATAATATCATAGTTTTTCTCATTATTGTCAAAGCGACCTCTCTCTCTCTCTCTCTCTCTCAAACACACACACACACACACACACACACACACACACACACACACACACACACACACACACACAGACGCACACACACACATTCACTCCTCGGTTGCAAAAATCTACACCGATAAAGCCACTCCAGCCTGCATGCGTGCGTAAAAGGAAAAGCAGAGCGGTGCTGGATGTGTAAACTGAGGGATGGGGTGCAGTCCCCATTGATGAAAAAGAGTAGCTGAAGGATGGATGATGCTATGATTCATCCTCAGCGCCCCCCACCACACCCCCCCCCCCCCCCCCCCCCCCCCCCCCCCACCCCCTAACTCTCTCTCCCCCCACCAGCACTGTCACACCCCATCCTCACGGCCCCATCTACACCTGTAACACGTTTGACCCTGTTTCGGGTCATCCTCATTGACTGTGACCGTATATTGTTTTAATTTAGGCTACTGATTGATCCCGACAGCATTCACCCTCATAACCAACCAGATGTATGTCTGATGGTGCTGACTGCTTTTAGAAACACATCCTGTGCTGTTACTGCTCTACTGTTCCTTTATATTGGTGGGTTAATTTTGGGGAACGCACGACTACACCACACCACCTCTTTAAGACGAACCTACAAGTGCAGAATGATGGCAGAGCAGAGGAGATGAATCGGCTAATGGTTACTGGAGGTGATGGGTGTGTGATGTTGACCACCACAATGGTAATACTGGGTCCTCATTAGTGTTCAAGGGACATCTTTCTACCGGGTTTTGCGATGCGTTACGCGTTTTAAGTTCCACGGTAAAGGGAAAAATGTTGCTCTTACTTTAGCATGGCTTGTTCTTTCTCCTCTTCCTCCTTTTGCCGAGCCATCACTGCCATGATGATCTTCCTCTCCTCCTCGGTGAGGTGGCTCAAGTCCGGCAGATCCGGCATGGATGGCGGCACGGTGGGTGGGCGAGGGCCGCCCTGGGGCCCCACCGAGGCGGACATCTTTTCCACCACCACCACCCCACCTCCTCCTCCTCCTCCTCGGCGTGTCGTTTCGGCTGACAGGTTCCCCGGAGCGTTTCCGAGCCACACCTCACGACATGGTCCGCGGGCACAGCGGCAGCGGCAGCCGCAGCCCTGGCGAATAGTGCAAGCCGCTCATGGTTGCAGGCACCCCCGGTTGTGCTTTTGTTTGTTCTCTCTCTGGGTGTTTCTCCCACCACAGTCTCGTCGTCGTTCCCCCCCACCCCCCGCCTGCCCTCCTCTCCCCTCCACCGCCCGGATTCACGGGGAGCCCATCTCCGTTTTTTCACGCCGGGAGTTGAGTCGAGCTGAGGGGGCCCCTGGTTCACTCTGCTGGTTTGTGGTCCCTCCGCCGTCGTCGGACTGGAGCAGGATGTTGGGCGGTATAGGCGGAGTCCGTGCTGCTTCTNGCGGGGCCCGTTCTGCTTCTCCTCTCTCTCTCTCTCTCTCTCTCTCTCTCTTTCTCTCTCTCTCTCTCTCTCTCTCTCTCTCTCTCTCTCTCCCTCTCTCTCTCTCCCTCTCTCTCTCTCCCTCTCTTTCTAACTCACTCTCTCCCCCTGTCTCTCTCTCTCTCTCGCAGTCAATGGGAATGCAGCCCTCTTTCCTCTTCCTTTATTGCGGTGGCGCGCTTACTCATGTGAGAATACACACCATCATCACATGCAAGCGCTGCTACACATAAACACACCTTAGCGTTTTATCCAATAAACATACGCAAAGACACGCACACACTTATTAAACAAAGTTCAAAAGCGCACAGAGGATGTTTGGCCTATAACCAACCCGATACTCACGCGTGTGTAGCCTATGTTGCAGCGACAACATACACATGATTGAATGATGTCTGTGCGGCAGGTCGTACTCGTTCGTCTGTTTCAGCACCATGGACAGCTCGTCTGAACGGCACCGCTGTCACAGATTTTATTTCCCAAATCTCTCTGTAGTTTTTTCAACAAACTCTATCTACGCTACCTCACGGTTATTTTCACTTATGTAGGGTATACCGAAACTGGTAACCGGTGGATACATTTAAAAAAAAACTTGGATAGGCAGCCTCTGTAATGCATTTTTTTAATATATATTTTCCAAAGAGACAATGATCTATATAAATGTGCCAGTGTTTGCCAAAAACGTAGCCTAACCTTTTCTACTTCCCTTGGTCTTATGTTAAATTAGCATTTTTATCTTATCTTAACTTATCTTAGCTTACTTTATCTTATACTTCATCTTATCTTTGCTTATAGGTTAAGTCACGACAACTCACCGGGCTACTTTTTATGTGACTTTTTATTTCGCATAATTTAAAAGAGTGCAGGAGAGAGACTCATTTCCTCTGTTCCCTGTAAACTTTTGTTCTTACAGTTGTCAGGGGTGAAGCTCCCTTCTCGATCGAACAGCTCCTGTCAGAGTGAGGCTACTACAGTCCGCCCCCTCCACGCTCGCTTCGCATTCAGATCCAGACTCTCAGGCTACAGTCTACCGATCCGGAGCTGGCACCGGTTTCTCCCCGATGACGTAATGCTGGGTGAATGGTTGAGTCCATCCAGCAGATGGCATTAACCCCGGCTGCCGCTGCCGCTGTCACCCAGCCTCCGTCAAGTGACGTCACCGAAGAGGTGACTGTACCGCGGTGACGTCAGCTTCCCATGGTGCAGAATTTTGTCATCATTTAGGTCGTGACTAGGGACCACCAGCCTTAAGTGATACAGTCGTGCCAAGGCAGAACGGATCTTTGGTGCAGACCTCGGACTATAAATAAACCCTGAGTGGAGTCTGTGGGAGGACAGGGAGGCCCTGCTTTAATGGGTCTTTTCTTTAGATTTAAGATGTGCAACATTTACTCTGTCAACCCTAATGATGCTTTGTTATTGGTCAACTCGACACAGGCTGTAATAAAGAGGATAACATGCACGTAGACTATCACAATTGCGAGTTAATGAGTACCTTAGTAAGGCATGAGAGTGATTAGTAAAGTCGAGTTTGCGCTGTTTGAAGGGAAGTTTATTTCTTTATCACCTTTCAAACACAGACGCAATTCAATGTGTTTCAGTTAGACATTTAAAAATACAAGAAAATAGTGACATGATGCGAATTAAGAATAAAAATTGATTTAAAACATTTAAATAATATAAATAAAATAGAATGTAAAAGGACAAGACGTGTCTCGTCATGGATTGGCAGGGAATGATAATTGGTCGTGGACTTAAATAATAAAATACATAAAGGAAAAATCGAGTAGTTACTTGGCTAATGTAGTGTGAGGGAGACGATTCACAGAGCTGGCTGGTGCTTGTAAGAGAGCCCTCAGCTGGACTTCACCGACTATGAAAAAGTTTATCAAAATTTACATATGTTAAAGTTATAATCTGCAAATTTTCCACATTAAAATGTGTAAAAATGACTGGACCTATGTTATATATTTACTGAGTTGTGTACATTATCCCAAATGTTTCCAGCAATTCTCAAACCAGAGAAATATTTGAAAATGGTACCTGTAATATGGTCGCCTGTCAATGACGTCATATTCCCGTGGCATGTGTTAGTGTTGTTGTTGCCTGCCAGATACTCAACATTGACTTTTATCTAGTTTTAACTCACATACACTTTTTACACCTTGGCCGTTTTCAACTCTATATTTTAACCAGATGAAGGATTTTAGTCGTGGACGTCTGGATCTGAAGTTATTAGAGAAAAAAGTTGAGTAAATATTAGACAGCTCAGCTCCCAGCCGCTGGAGACGTCCTGTGCTGTGTCCACTGAAGCACGTCGGCAAATCACTGATTTTTAAAGTGAAACTGTCTTTTTCGTTTACTGGTTTTAATCCCCTGGTCTGTTATGGAGAGGAGGACACCTCTGTGGATAATTCGGCTGCAGGTAAAAACCTGCTGAATGTCTGGTTCATAAGTTATTGAAGAAACATAGGTAAGTAGTGCCTGTTTCCAGCTACTCCCTGTTCGCCGTAGAAGAATCACGGATTTCTAAAGGGAAACTGCTTTATGGGTGTTCCTACCTTCCTCTGAATGTCTGGTTGATAAGTTATCAGAGAAGCAATCCAAACAAAGGTTAGCATCAATCTCAGCTCCCAACCCTTCCCTGACGTCTCTGTCCTCCGTACAGCGTCGGTGAAACACTGACTTTAACTGGAAACTGCTTTATTCAGTGTTTTTAATGGTTCTAATCACCAGGTCTGTTTGATTTCCTGAACCACTGACACTGAAGGAATCCAAACCGGGAGAAGTTTATGGTGATGGTGGTAAAGACAACTCCCAAGATCCCATGCTATGTGAAAAGTTATAAACAGGATTTAAGAGGTTAAACTGGATTACTAAATTTTAATATCGTCAACAAGAACTAAAAATGAATTTGGAACATTTACATCTTGAGCCTTTGATTTGAAAAAAGATAAAGTTATGAAAGAGCAGGGGAAAAAAAGCAAAAACAAAAACACTGAAAAAATAGCACAATATTTTTTAAATTAATTCAGTTTAAAATAGACGTAGGCCTACTGAATGGAGGAAACCAGAGCCCCGAACCCCAAACCTCCTGTACTGTAAGTGATAACATCCAAAATATTTGCCTAAGTAACCTGTGATATCTTGAACATTGTCACAAATACTTGTCAGTGAATGATTTCTATAATATTCAATAATAGACAGTAAGTCTTATTTTTGATTTGTCTACTTTCTGATCACGACGTAGCCTATAAGGGAAATAAGCTGCTACTGTGAGATGGAAGATTTTCCCACAGAAACAGGCGGACAACTCCATATATCCAATTCAGAAAATGACAGTCAAGATTTGACAACAATACCCTCACCATTGTGAATATACCGACATCTAGTGGACACATGAAAACACTGCATGTACAGAGAGAGAATTTAAACCTCTTCACTATGTAGGAGTTAGTGGCAGCTCAAGAGACTGTAACAACAGCAGCCATTGTCGAGTGACAATTAAGGGTTAGCCTAATATGAAGTGCTAAAAAATAGTGAAACTGTAGCAAAAATATGAAGAGTCATAAAGTCTGCAAAGTGACAATGTCTAATTATTTGTTAACATTAACTAACATTTAGTAACCAAAGGCTTTTAGTCATACGAGGCGAAGTAAAACAATGAGGCTGAACTTCATGTTTTACTTAAAGAAAATCAAGACCATCCCTGAGGTTATTCATGCACCAGCGTCCCTCTTAATTTCATGTACAATACAGTATGTTAATGGAGCAATAATTTTTACAAAGGCCTAATTGCAAATTAAAGGTAGGAACACTGTGTACTGTTTAGAAAGTATTCTTCTGTCTAAAAGAGCTACTAAATTAACATTTTCTCGCCCTGTCACTGAATAAGCAATAGTGCACACATAAGGCATGTTCACTACTGTGATGTCACTATTATTATTTTTGTAGCAGTAAATCTCTCAAGAAAAGGGTGAAAAAAACATAAATTTTAAGTATAGACAAATTAAAAATCCCCCCTACCCTCCCCAAAAATCAAATCAGAATACCCTCACTTTAGCAAATAGAAAAAATACCTAACCCGCCTCCTTTCCCGACCCCATCTACCCCTGCAAATAAATTTTGTACAATCCCTAAGGAATAGCTGCAAAACACCTGAGTCTTTTGAACTGAGCAGTGGTGTTTGGTGCCTCCCCCAAGAAATGTTGTGTGTTTTCACCCGTGTCTGTTTATTTCCCAGCAGGATCACACAAAATGTACTGGACAACTTGCACCGAACTTGGTGGAAGGATAGGTTATGGGCCAGAGAAGAACCCATTCAATTTTGGGGCAGATTTGGATCATTTACTATTGATTTTAATTTTTTTCTCTGAAGTCTGTTGTATGTTGCTTTAATGCCCTTCTACTTACCTTTGAACTCAATTTACACAGGCTCACAGAAAGATTTTCATAGTTAAATTAACTGCTAGTGTGGACTTGTATAAGATCATGAAAGAAAGTAAAAGCAAACACTCTCTGAATGTTAAAATAACACTGCAGCTGCATATTCACCTTTTGTATCCTCTTCAAAAGATTGTGTGACATTCTCATGGAAAAAAACACACGTGAGCTTGAACACAATAGTATCATGGCTTTTATATTTTTGTACAATGGCAGATGAAACAAGTGGAAGGCAGATGTTTTTTTCTCTTTAGAAAACTGAAAAACCAAAGATGCAGAGATCCAATGCACAACCAGACACAAGAAGGTTTATAGGAAATGTAGTTTTAATTTAGAGAAGTACATCACACATTACATCACAGAGACATCCATCTTGACAATAGTCTATTTTGTTCATGGTGACTGAGTGATACATATTAGTATAACATTTCATTTTCATATTTTCCTTGACCTTTTATGCTTTCACTGGCAATGGAAAAAATACAAACAAGACTGGAGAATATCTTCTTTCTTTTATCACACTATGTATCAATCCAAGTGCATTTCCCTTATTAGGCTCACAGCATCACCTAATGTGTAAATCCGGTATTTCAGGAGGCCAGCTGGAGGGCAGTCGGTAGAGTTGTTTTTACTGGGCTTTGGATAAATGTGGCGGTTTAATTTATTTAGGCAAAACATATATATATATATATATATAGACCTCTTTAACTTGTGTATATACATACATATATAAAAAATCTGGTTCTATCTCTAACACTAACACATTCTTCTTACACAATTTAAAACCGTTTTATTGGTTTGCTCATTTTTTCTGACAAGTTTTTGAGAATGGCAATGAACGCTGCAGATAAATTGTGCTGCAGAAGTAGAGACATATGATGGATTTGGGGATAGCTTTCAGATCTGGGCGAAATAATAACAAACTCTCTTCCTGGTTCATTTTTAGTAGACTTAAGAAACTCAGATCGTTTGGGATCCAGGCTGTCTACTTGCTGATGACCTCTGTGTCCACATCTTCTGTGCGGGAAACCACTTTTCCATCAACGATCTCTTCAATCACCACCTTCCTCCTCTGGGTAATGACTGGTTGATCTGTAGAGGGAACCAAAAACAAAATCAAATCTGTAGCATATTTCATTTTAATCGGCAAAGAGCCTAAAAATACAGCAGTGATGTCAACTTACGTTTGACCTCTTGTATGACGACAGTTTTGCTAGAAGAGAAAATGAGAAATAAGGAAAAAGTTAATTTTTACCATTCTTACTGTTCAAGACGGAGATAGTACATATGTTAAACTACTGATTCGGGAGACATGAGCGTGGTATCAAACTTCTCATATAATGCAAAAAACTGTTAAACCAGTTCTTTTTTTTTCTGAAACAGAATTCACACATCCTTACTTTTGATCCTCTCCGTCCAGCAGCCTTCTGTACTCAGCAATCTCCAGCTCCAGCCTGGTCTTGATGTCGAGAAGCACCTGGTACTCTGTGGACTGCCTCTCGATGTCCGCCCTCACCTGGCTGAGCTCGCTCTCCAAGCTGTTGACCATGGCCTGGAGCTGGCTGAGCTGCAGGCTGTAGCGGGACTCTGTCTCTCCCAGTGTGCCCTCCAAAGCAGCTTTCTACATAGGAGACACAATAAAGAGCAGATATGAGACTCTATTCACCACTAATTGCTTGTTTTCTTATTCCACTTTCTATTTAAGTTGCCAGAGGAAAACAAAGTGACTGACTGACAGGTTTACTGACTGCTATTTATAGTATTGGTCAAACACGTTGTAAAATATGTTACTATGGTATGTGTGTTGCACACGCCATAGTATCATAAAATGACACACAACAGGTCAGAGAAGATTCATGTTGTATTGTGAAAAAATACTGCATGAAAATGTGCGCTGCAGCTTCTTTTATGTGCATCTGTGCATGTGGAAGAATCTGCCGTACCAGGCTGATCTGGGACTGCAGCTCAATCTGCAGGGACTGCAGCGTCCGCTTAAGGTCGTTGATCTCAGTGCGGGAGGTCTGGAGGGTCTCTGTGCTGGTTGTCACCTGCTTGTTCAGCTCGTCAAACTGGAAGACATCAAATTAGACATGAATATGGTCACAAAGCTATTCAGGCAATGAGGTAATCCCTTGCTGTTTAGTTAAATGTGGGCATGAGATGATGATACGAAAATGGTTTTAAGAGGTTAAGTGTATTGTCTCGCTCCGCTCACCTTGACCTTGTACCAGGCTTCCATTTCACGGCGGTTCTTGTCAGCGATGCCGTCATACTGAGTTCTGATCTCCTCCAGGATCCTGGACAGATCCTCCTGGGGCTTGGCGTCCACCTCTACCTTCACAGTGCTGGCAGTAACTTGGCCGCGCATGGCCGCAAGCTCCTACGGGCAGGACAACAGTCAAAGGTCAGGTAAGGTCAAAGATAAAAAAAAAAACACTTGGAAAGCAAAACAAGGAAAGGGATCCTGAGACAAAGAGCCAGTCTGGACCAGAGTTTAAGTTGGATTATGTAATTTGTGACAGAAGAATTGGCACATTCTTGCTTTTAACAAGGAAACGTTGAGTCACTGTCATCTGAGATGTCTTGCAATCAAATGACATCTTATAAGTCATTATTTTTTGTCAGCACCCTGGGGCCAGTGGCACATAACTTGAAGGCACAGCAGAAATCCAAACAAGTTTAGTATAAACTAATGTTTGTATAAGAGAGTGATAACATCTCTTGGGAGGCATTTGGCAAACAGGTGACTTAACTGTCTCATGAGAACTGTTTTAATGTTGTTCTTACCCTCTGATTAAATTATATGAAATGGGTGGATCATATTCCCTTCTAGTCATTTAAATTAACTATCCATGCTCTGTTTTGTTTTCTGATTATTAATGTAAAAAGTAATAACCGCGTAGATACAGATGATGACTTGACACCTGGTCTTACTGAGATGGTGTGATGCTCTTCCTAACGGTATAACTCTCACCTCTGCATGATTCTTCTTTAGGTAGACCAGCTCCTCCTTCAGGCTCTCCACCTGCATCTCCAGGTCAGTCCGGGTCATGGTCAGGTCATCCAGAACCCTGCGCAGTCCGGCAATGTCCGCCTCCACCGACATGCGCACTGCCAGTTCATTCTCATACCTGCGAAGAAAGCAGCATGGATGTTTATGTTACTGCACCCGCTCCATTATTATTCAAACCAACGACAATAACAATTCAAGGTGAAGCTCCACCAAAACCAGTCACACCTGTTTCATCACTCTGTTGACCATTACACCCCCGGGACAATATGTCCACATAGCATGAACTGCCTGAATGAACATGCAATGTAAGCCTTCTGCCATTATAAAAAACATAGCAATGCTAATAAGGGTTTTTAACCATACAGGGATCATTCCACTCACTTGACTTTGAAATCCTCTGCTGCCAGTCTGGCATTGTCAATCTGCAGCATCAGTCTGGCATTGTCCTGTGAGGCGACACTTATCTAGAAAAAAAAAAACAAGCATTGTCAGTGATTTCTTATCGTCATGTAATACCTATCACAAAGGTGTGTTAGCGATTCATTATCTAGAATGTGGGCTGACAAGGTTGGTTTGATCGGCAGAGTAGTTTTCTTTACGCCTGGCTTATGCTGAATGATATCAGGCAATTATCACATTTGCTCATCAAGTGATTAACATTACTCTTGACAGGGTTTGCAGGTGCTGCTGAGAAACCAAAAAAAAAAAAGAGAATAAGGAGCTTTAGTTTTAAAGTCCAGCACGCCAGCTAACTTTTTCTTTCTGTTACCTTGCACATGCACACACTGTATATCATCCATGTTGCTCTTGATATTTTATGTTTCTCGTGGTTTTCCTGATCCACATTATGAAGGCACATGGCTGAGTGATACTGACTAGACTTTAAAGAGAACTCAGTAAGGTTGGAAAAATAAGTAATGAATAAAATGTTTGCTATGATGGGCTGCATTCTTATCTGTGGAGGATAAACTAATCTTCTTAGTGCAGTGTATCATGTAATGTGAGGATGAAGATTTAACATGATATACATGAGGAAATTATACTTCTTTATATGGTGGTTGTTTCTTTACCATATCCCAAATGATTTTTTTTTAAAAGTGCTAAGAGTTTTCAGACTGGAAAAAAGCACTATAACATTTGCAAGTTAACATATATTTTAATGTTGATTATTTATATTATTTTACAGTAGGAAAATAGAGGTTATATAATTAAAGACACTTCGTTTCATATTTATGTGAGGAGAGTAAAGCTCACCTTTCTGCGCAGGTCGTCAACGATTGCCTGATACTTGCTGTAGTCCCGGACGGTGGGGGTCTGCTTATCGTACCACTCGCGGATTTGGCGCTCCAGCTGCGCATTGGTGGACTCCAGAGAGCGCACCTTTTCCAGGTAGGAGGCCAGGCGCTCATTGAGATTCTGCATGTTCATTTTCTCGTTGCCTGAGACGGAGAAACTGCTGCTGCTGCTGCTTCCCCCGCCACCTCCGAGCGCCGCCGCCAGGTCAAAACCGGAGCCGAGGGAGTTGGAAGCGTAGGACACCTGGACGTTTCGACCACCGGCACCGCCATAGACGCTCGTTCCCCGCTTGGAAATTGACAGTGAGGGAACCGAGGACATGGAGAAGGCGGATACGCCAGAGCGGTATGAGGCGGTCATGGTGACTTCTGTGAGACACGAATGCAGTGTTGACTGAAAGTTGATAAAACCTCAGGAGTGGTGAAGAGGAGCCGGTGCTGAGGCCGCCCGGAGGATAGGTTTTTATAGTCTCCTTCCTGGAAGTGGGTGCGGCCCAACAGGTAGATGGAAAGATGCTGATGCCACCATCACAGGTGTGACCGCGCAGGGCGTGGTGGGTTGGCATTCAGGTTAGTGCCCTCAACATTTAACGGCTGTCACGGTGCATTTCACTTAGGCGTGTGAGGCATTGTTCATTCATGTTGTCACCTTTAATTTAAGCCTGTCTGTCTGACACAGTTAAAGGAATACGTCCTTTAATCCCTTTATAGGTAAACTGCGGTTCATTTACTCTAACCTTTAACAGACTGATTTTAACTATAAAAGCATCTCCCAAAACTGTCATTTTAGTAAAAAGCAATGCTATTAGTGATGTTCCTCTTTGGATTTTAAGGACGCAGCTATCAGCCTGCATGCACAGGTACAAGACAGCACATGTACACCAGAATCTTGTTTGTGTCTCTCACAATCAACTTTGTAAAAATGTACTATACATACAGTACTGTATACTACTAGCGCTGTGATGATAACAGCATAACCTCAATACCAAGGATGCCTATCACCACAACATATTTTCATTTGTTCTATTTCATTTTTAGTTCATAATTGAACTTAACTGTAACTTTAACTTCTTTTTTCTGATCCCCATTAGCTTCTGCTACAATGGTTACTAATCTTCCTGGGGTCCACAGTACTGTAGCCGTCAAATGTCTTTCAAATGTGGCAGGTAGTAAAGTAGCCTCTTCGTTTGACTTTGTTAGCTCAGTGATACTAGAATTAGACACCATGCTCCATAAAGGTTTTTGTGATTTGGCTAGCTCCTTTTAGCTTAACATTTATTCGAATAGCAAACTTAGTGGGGCAATTTCATTCAAAGACCTGATGACTATACTGAATTAATTAATGTTATATTATTATGCAAATGAAAGACAGACAAACAAATCCAACTCTCAAATGGCATTTGATTATAGAGTCAACAAGATTTTACAAACAATGTCAAATCTACATTGATTACAATAGTTTTACTACAATCTTGTGACTGGCTACCAAAGCGCTTCCACCCCCCTGATGCTCTCACATCTGGTAGTTTGTAAGAAACACGTCTATAGTGTTTTGCAGAAACCCAGTTCCAGCACACGCACACAGCACATTCTATAATAATAATGTTCTCACATCTTACTTAAGTGTTTTAACACACTAACATCTGGTAATTAGCAATTTATTGGATAAACAAAATTTCTGACCACTCGTTGAGGCTAGGCAAAAAGTCAGAGGATCACCTAAGTCAGCAAGTTTCGGGGCACACTGGTGGCCTAATGGTTAAAGCATACCACAGGCTGGTGGTAGCTACAGGCAGAACACCCAAACATGCATCTTGCCCATCCATTCAAATTTAAGATTTTTTTTTAAGTGGAAAAATAGCAAAGAAAATGCCAGTACCATTTCTTCTGCTTGATGAGCAGCTTATAGCCGGCCTCCAAAGTCACCCACTGCCCACCTCCTCTTCTCCTCTGTCCACTGGACAGAGTGTCTGCTGGAGTTATAAGCGCCGTCGGGTGTTCAATTAATGCCATGAGGTGGTATACAAGTGTTTTTTGGCATGGAATAAACACTGTTGTCTGCCACTTGACTGTAGAAGTTAAAACACTAATCCCATGTAGAGTAAAATACAACTCTCACCTCAACTCTCACTCTTTCATAGTGACGGCACTTAAAAATACAATATATTTCATTTTACTCTTAAGGATTTTAGGTGAAAATGACTACAAAACATTGTATTGATTACTACAAATATCGTATGTTTAAAGCTCCGTGTAGCCGCAACTACCCACCTATTAGTTTTACCAGCCCACCCTAATATAGCCGACTAAAACCAGCCTGCCCACATAATTGCAATCCATGGTTTGACTGCTGGCTGAGGGACTCTTATTGCATGTTATACATCACTCTCACCTACCACATTTCCCATCTCTGCACTGCCTGTCCAATAAAGACAAAAAGCAAAAAAAAATGTTTTAATGTCTATGCGCAATATTTACTGGCAATACAATTAATTGTTGCTGAAATATTCAGTCTGGACCAAAGCAACAAACTGAAAACCAACAACAGAGCCAGAGTGCTAGCATTGCTGATAAAAATGTAGGCATATTACAGCTGTTATGCATAAAGAAGTTAAAGGGGCAGACCATTTAAACAGTGGACTTTTTTTTACACATACTCTACATTGACTGAAAAAGGAATTCATGCATCATTTATTGCACACACATCCAGACAGACTGTAAATATTCTCCCACACTTGTATGTATAACACAGCGTGAACCATGTGGTGCCATGGTGCATGAAAACCTGTCATGGAGCCATTTTGTTTTTGGCATGTCTTTTATTTAAATGTCATGTTGTTATTAGGTGTAGGCACATATCTCAGAGATCATACAGTCATCTGCTCAGAAAACCCATTTGTTCCTGTGCTGCCTCAGGCTGTTGCTGTTTTTACCTGCTAGGACCTGCGTGTACTCTCAAATTTACATCCCCATTAGTTAGATCTGTAAAGTTGGATCAGTGCCTTGACCTTTTTGGGTTCATGCCTCGAACCAACACCTCAACTTGGATTTAAGTCACAACATGATTAGTTTAAGTGCTTCATCCAGTCCTACAGTGATGATTTCGTGCCATGTTGTGGTTTGATCATATCCAGGCAGGTGTGTGTTGCCAAGTCTGTCATCCATCCATTATCTAACCACTTATCCTTATAGGGTCGCGGGGGGGGGGCTGGAGCCAGTCCCAGCTGACATTGGGTGAGGGCAGGGGACACCCTGGACTGGTCACCAGTCCATAACAGGGCTGACATACAGAGACAAACAACCACTCACGCTCACATTCACACCTATGGGCACTTTTATAATCGTCAATCAACCTATTGTGCATGTTTTTGAAGCCGGAGCACCTGGAGAGAGCCCGCACAGGCTCGGGGAGAACATGCAAACTCCACAAACTCCACACAGAAAGGCTCCAGGCCCAGGGTTCGAACCCTGTGAGGTGACAGCGCTAACCACTGGGCCAGTCTGTCAGCATGTCTTAATTCAGATTACCTTGATATGCTAAAGGTGTATCACACAAACTAATCACAAAAACACACAATGTTCACCGACCCCCAGTGTCAGATGGGCCAAATTTGGATCCAAGATAACTGACTACAACAGTGTTTAGGTGTTCACAAATATACACTACACTTTGTAGCAGCCCCCCTCTCTGTCTCCTACCTACCTTGTCATGACTACCATGCAAATAATGTTTTACTGGGCAGGTAAAAGTTGATCTTGGCAACAGTAGTGGTATACTCCTGGATAAACATGTGAGCTATGAAAACTGTATTACTCTGTTTTTTATAGCAGCTGCCAAGTGCCCTTGTTTCAAATACTAAGAGTCATTGTGAAACTGAATAGGCTCCTTTTCCCATGAAAAACGTTTGTTCTCATAAATCACTCAAATTGTTCGTAATTACCAGCTTGGACGATGTGAAACAGATAATTTAGAAGTGAGTAGCAGGTGTTAAACTGTAGTAAATGGGTGGACAAGTGGGTGCTGCCCTTTAATCAGGTGTTCTTAATCTGTTGTTCTTGATCATTTTTTCCCCTACCTTTCAAGTTATGTTCAACAACTGGAAAAATTAGGGAACCTCCAGTCCATCAGGTTTCTCTGACATTGTTCACTCTGAAGCATTTACTGACATGTATTATCAGATACGCTTCTTTTGTATACCATTGTTTTACTGACAGAGGAGCTTAAAGTGAAGTTAGACTGAAACCGGATCTTAAATTATAGTTTAAACTAAGGTGCTTTTTAATTAGGGTAACACTGACAAAAGACATTACACCAGGCTTAATGTTTAACAGTCAAGCTTAAAGGAGCTATATGTAAGTTTTGCTATTGCTACATAGCCAACATTAGCATTAACAGCTGTATACTTACCAGTTTAGAGTAAACATTGCGAGTTCAGCATCAAACTTGATTCCTTTACTCGCCAAGATCTGTCTGTCTCCAGAGGTGGAAAGCAACCCTCTTGTTTGCTAGCAAAACAAGTAAGCATGCTAACCAGCTAGCTCTGGTCTGGCCGGACTGTTTCGTCAGTTTCCGATACCGAGTCAGTGTAGTATCCAGTTTGTGCCAAAGAAGTGGCACTGATTAGAGGGAGTAATTTTAACATATTGTATTGTAAACGCAACGATGGCTGAAACTCTCAGCAAGACTGGTAAATAAAGAGCTGTTAGTGATAACATGGGCTTTGTAGCAAGAGCAAAACCTACAAATAGCTCCTTTAAAGTCAGGTTATAATGACATTGGAGTATAAACCAAGCTGGAGTTTAAGCCTGTGGGTGTTGCTCTGTCCCTCACAAAAATCACAATCACAAGTTGAGCTAGTTGTCTAGAGACACGGTTTCTTAATAAATTACTACATTCAGAAAACTGAAAACTATGTTAGTTCACTCAATAATGAAAATAATTCATAGTTGCAGCCCTACAAACAATATTTTACCATGATGGAGTAATTCATTTTGCATAAGAACTGGTTAAACTATTGATCTAAAATAAATATCATAACCATAATTTAAATACAGCACAGGAATGTGCCACAGTTACACCAGCACTTTAGAACAGACTTAGCACTTCTAAGCTATTGCACACTTGACAATTATAGATATGTGTCTCTGTTTTTAATACGTGTTTTTGTGTATTTAATGTGTCTTGCTTTTAATATGTGTCTTTTCTAACTTGTCTGTCATATCCCCTTGACCAGAGGACAATGATATCTCGCTCCCATGTATTCAAGTGTATATTATGGAAGTGACAATAAGTCTGATTCTGATTTTTAATCTGGTGTGACTGAGGTATCTGTCCCAGAACGCCTTGTTATGGACAAACGGCATTAATAATTATGGTCATGTTGTCATGTTATCACATGCTGGAAGGTTGGATCAAACAAAGAAATGCCTCTTCTCAGTTTACACCCAGACATACAGATAACCAGCCCTCCACCAGCCCTTCTGCTGACCCCAGTAACTGCAGGTAAAATCATCAGGGACAAGGCCCTGACATGTTCAGCTGAAGTATTTGCCCATCCTCATTCTACGCAACACTGAGTGACACCTAAGTGTGGCACTCCTAGTGAAACTGTTTTATGAAGAGTAAGTATTGTGTAACCCTGGGGTGCTTTGCAAAATGTCAAACAAATCATGATAAGGATAATAGTTTTTCGGGCCGTGTTGTACCTGCACTTCTTTTTAAATAAATATTTAATGGTACAATTTAATGATGGGCCCAGATATAGTTATTTTTCCTTCGGGTTTTTAAGCTTTAACAAGTATAAAATCAGAAATTTCATTCATCCTTTACAACCTTTATGAAAATACTCGAACTTTGATTTGATGTTTTTATGTAGGGTGTGTTTTCCTGTTGCTCTTTTCTTGCCGTGGTCCTTCATTATGAGATGGTACAAAGCAGCAATCACAATGAATGTTAATGACAGATTCGTTAGCTAATGAATTCTGCTCTCTATGTAGTGTAAATTTCAACCAACTCTCCCAGCCAGTCAGGAGGACCCTGCCCAGTTCGTGCCTGTGTGTCACATTAATTGGGCTGTTCCCTTCAGTTCCCTTCCTTGTGTAGTTGTACAAAACCATCAAAGGTGTTTCTTTCATTTGTATGACATGTTGATCTCCCAGACTATAAACTCTGAAATGTATGGTATGATGTCTGTCTGTTAAGATGACAAACCTTTCTCATCTAACACTGGTATGATCAGCATTCAAGTCGTAGGTGTGGAGAGTTTGTTTAATATAGTTAAAAGGGTACATGACTGCTGAACATTAATGAGGTCAACCACTGATGTTGGTCTATAAGACCTGGTTCTCCAGACTAGTCGAGTTCCAGTTCCTATTGTGCTTGAGTTGAGTTCTTCCACACTGAAATGGGAAAACCATTTGCACTTTGTGCAAAGAGGCATGTTTAAACAGGAAGGGGCCTTGCCCATTGTTTCCACAATGGCAGCACTATTGACCAAACCATAAAAAACAGCCCCAGACCAAAGGTGCACACATACTTTTGTCCATATAGTGTTAGGTTATGACACGTGGTTAATACTGTGAATGTGAATGTGTCTGTCTGAACTGACTGTTCAGTGGATGTAGAAGAGCGGTAGCACATTCAGTCAACCAATCAGCAGCCAGTATGTGAATGACCAGTGAATATGTGTACATAACAACCAATCACTGATCCCTATTGTTGACTACACAATTTATATTTTGTGTGAAAATACGCAGTGACTTTCATCAAGTGTCTAAAACATTTTGAAATAAGAGGTAGATTTAACTTTAATTTTTCAAAATCTTTCAAAATCTTGAATAAATGGATTGGTGTCATGGATATGCAAATTAACACATGGTTTAATTTCACAACATCTACAGGCAGTAGCGATACTGTAGCTACTTTGCATTTAAAGTAGTTGGCAACACTGAGCTAGTCAGTAACTGTGTGTGTCTGCCGTTCAGTGTACAGAGCTTTTCTGTTCATAATGAAATGAGGGTGATGAGAGAGACTGAACAAAAACAACAATAATAAACTAGATATTATGACTGACCCCCTTACACATTACGCATAGTCGTTTGACCCATTGTTGATATAGAAATGTTAATAAGTGCATCTTTAATGGTTTAATGATTATAATGATCATTTCAACAGAAACGTAAATGAGTGTTTAACATGTATAGATAAATCCTGAAGGCTGTAGGTTGAGTTTTACCTACTGTTATTGCTTTTTCTGCCTCTTACAATACCATCACACTGCAAGTCAAAGCACATGAGACATGCTTTAGCTGAACATAACCCCTACAGCAGAGTCTTGTAAGGAGTTTATGTGAAGATAATCTCTTCTGAGGTTTTGGATTCAAACCACAATACCTTCCAATCCAGAACTCAAGTAGCTTGCATAACGATGTCATGTACAAAGGACAAAAACCTCCTGGCATAGAGTTTTATAATTGTTATAGAATGGATCAGAAGCTATTGTGTGTTTTTATAACAGGTGTTTCTTTTTTTTGTCGCCAGGCACCTTTAGTAAAAGGCTCCTTCCTTCAGAAAATGAGGAATAAATGAGTAATCAAAGAGCTACTTAGCGTCCACCCTTGAGGGGAACAGTGGCAGGCGAATCTTAAGTCACAGGAGTCAGGCACAGCAAACTATTAAGACCTTTCAGTGTTAAACCCATAACCTGAGGCTGACTTCATTTGTTTTCATTCTCTTGTAGGTAGTGACCAACTCTGAAGACTCCGCGTCATCTCCTGAAATTTGCCTATCAAGTCACCACCTGCTTTTCCCTTTTCCACTTAATTGCATGACTCCCCTGGCAAAACACTCCTTCGAATGCAATACAACAAAGGCGATTTCTTGGATTTCTGTGGGATCAACATGACATCTAAAAACAGGTTTGGTAGCATTCCTTGTTTGCAGTCATAGCAAAAATCATCAGTCCCAGACACTCAGAATCCACCTGCCTGGAACGCCCTGATGGGTGTTATTTTTCCTGCTAACATTATTAATCACTGTCACCACCATCACCACCTTCTTGCCAACAGGATGACACTTCACTCAAACGGTAATGGAGTGTAATGATGGTAATTGTCCCGGCGGTACTTTCTGGCATTGTTTGGTTAGTCTGGTTAGACTGTGTGTAAGAGCTTGTTTAACTATATTTGTGAGGTCTGACAGCTTTGTGGGGCCCAAAATGCTGGTACTCACAACCTTGAATTGCTGAGGGTTAAGACCTGGTTTTAGGGCGATAGTCGGGTTGTGTGTGTGTGTGTGTGTGTGTGTGTGTGTGTGTGTGTGTGTGTGTGTGTGTGTGTGAGTGTGTGAGTGTGTGTTTAATAATTAAAGTTTCCACACTTTTCCTTTTGCTATCTATGATGGACATTTTCTCCCTCTCTCTCTCTCTTTCTCTCTCTATCTTTTTCTAACCATACAGGTGGATGAAAACTGTTGGACAAACTGTTATCTAAACCCCATGAGAATGTCAGCTGGCTGCTCCTCATCTGTAATTTCAAGACAATACTTGTACAATGGTTGTAGCAGATAGCGCCGCAGGCCTTGTATTAGTAATCCCCACATCCTGGCAAAGCAACCTTTGCAAAGTACACTTGTTTACTCAATGAAGAAGTCATCTGATGAGCAAATCCTCAGATCGGGGGTTTGCTAACTGACAAAAGTGGCTCTTTGAAGTCAAAGTAGGCACAGAAACACATTAGATAAGGAAAGAATTAGATTCTCCAAACACTGAAACTGCATGTCAAAATAGATCTGGATTTAAATGTTACAATCACGTTTAAAGGACCAATCACTACTTTTTTAACTTAATAAATTGAAGTTGTTGTGAGCAACCATTAAAGTGAGATTATGTAACTGAAATGAAAGAAGAAATATTATTTTATAGCAGTAACAAATATATATTAACAAAAGTCTATTTTCTTAATTTCTCCAGTACCACAGAACCGATTAAGATTTAAAATTTAGCCCTGGGGCCTGTCTAACGCCAGGTTTCAGTACCCATCCCTAGACAAGCATTAGCATGTTCCCAGATGTCGAGTGTGTTAATTTGTCTGTGACCTGATTCACCAACCAACCCTGTGACTTCATTTGATCTAATCATCAAGCTTAATTAAAGCCCCACCTTCTACACATAATGCACAGATGACCTTGGTCTATGTGACTGGACCATTATGCTACAGTTTTAGCATAAGCCTGTGACTTCTATCTGTGGCAAAAGTAACCACTGTTTAGCAGTATCAAAATGCGGAGCCACACTTTTTTTTTCTTTTTCTTTTTTTTTTTGATAGAGGACCAACCCATTTGTTTACATTTGTATCAAAGCTTAAACATTCAGTGGAATCCTGACACCACACCCGTAGCTTAACCAAACATACGTCTTATTATAATACCTTAAATATTTTCATAATATTATCGGTGTGTGACACTGCTGTACACGCAGTCTGCTGGCTGTAGAATATGGCTATGAAAATATACTGTATGCAAATTCCAGAGACAATAAAACCATAATGTGTCTGTGCTGAAAACATAGTGCTGTAGTTGTTGGGACATATCTGTGGACAGTGTATCTAAGGAAATACTGACACCACATTAGAATATTTAGAAGATGAAACCTTTGTCCCAGACAGTCAGACACAAACACTCAGTTATTCTCTAAAACTCGCCAAGACTGTTATTGAGCAAGAGTTCACTCTGCACAGAGTGTGTCTTACTTCACTTCAGGATAGAGTGTATATGGAAGGAGGCTTCACATTAATTATAGTACATGTAACCTCTTATTTAAGCACCACTCACATGTCCTGTCACTGTGTCTCCCTGAACATTCGCTCCACAGCTTGTGTCTCCCTGTTTGAAAGCGGCTCAGTAATCCTGGATCAGAGAGCACAAAGGGCCCCAGAGTGCTGGTGATGTAAGCACTGTGTCCAGTGCCTACCCCACTGCTCTCTCCTCTCCCAAATGCTGTTTTGGGTGGTGAGGTGGGACAGGGAGGACCATCCGTATCGTGTCTGAGCCTGAAGACTACAGACTGACGTACAAGCAGTGACACTGGCAAGGTAATGGCAGCCTGTGCTGTGTCTCAGGGGCCTGCTGCTGCTGCTGCTGCTGCTGATGACCTGGATCACAGTGGGAAGGGAAAAAATGTTGACCAGCTTGCTGTAGAGGAATGTGGCTAAGCTGTGGTGAGTGTTGGGTCGGCTCAGTGTGATCAGGCAAATAGACTGAAGGACCTTTGCTACCTGTTACCACATTTACTGTGCTTTATTCGTGGAAGGCCACCTTGTTTCAGGTGAGTATCGCTGGGTAAACATTTACCTAGTAAACGCCTCTGGCAGCGTGTGATCTCAGACTGGGTGGCAGATTGTTTGCTGTGAAAGTTCTAACTTAATATTGCTGTGTATGCATTGTGCAGCAAACATAGTAAGTCTGCTGGTCGCGAACTATCTGAATGTTTTGACCATCACAGGCTCAACCTGCTGTGCCTGTGAAATTTGACTGAGTGGAGATATCAGTGGCTCATTGTGTGTGTGTCTGTAAACACGTGGGTGTGCAGTCTGTCAGGTCAGGCATCTGTGGACTTGATGCAGGACTCCAGTCAAACGATGTGGGGTCTGAACGCCCGCTTGAAGGGCTTCCTGGAGCAGGTGAACAGGCTGCAGGAGGCCAACCGGCAGCTGGAGGCTCAGATAGCCGACTGGGGCATCAGGAATGCCTCACGTTCCCAGGACTGGTCCCAGCAGGAGCAGACTGTGAAGGAGCTCCGTGCCCAGGTCAGACTAACATTTGTCGACATTTTTAATCATCAGTAGAACTATTGAAAACTGTTGGAAAATGCACATCTCTTTGCCAGATAAAGGCACAATGCAGATGTAGCAAACATGCTACAGAGTTATTTTTCCACTCAGGCTTTATGATTATGCTCATTCTCCATTACATCAGCTCAAGGCCGTCTTGGCCGGCAGAGAACAGGAGCAGGTGCATATTGTTCAACAGTAATGACTGCGGTGAAAACAGGGACACAGTCAATTACCAGTGTTGATGACAGCTGCATGCAATATGTCAACAGTGTCAAATACAGGCCAGATAAGGCAGCTTTAATGGCAGTGGTGCAACGATGGTTTGCGGACAGACGCCGCAATGCTGGCTCTGCTTTTAATCAGTAAAAACAACAGCTTCCTCACATTCATAAAGTTGATGTTGGAGCTTGATTGGGTTTGAATCTATAAAAGATTGTTGATTGATAGATCTGTTGATTGTAGATCATTTTGATGTTTTTTCCTCTTAGCTAGTAAGAGAGAATCAGCAACCTAGTCTTGATATATGAAATCATTTTCAAAACCAACTTGATACTGATGCTCATTTGTCATCGAGATAAAAGTTGACATTCTGAAGAAACACACCTTTGAAAAGGGAAATTCAAAAGCAATGTACCAAGAAAATGACTGAGTACTCAGATTGTACAAAAGCCCATGAGGTGAGAGGTAATGCCACATCAAACAAACTTGCTGCAGAGGATTAGGAGCATATATGTGTCTAATTAAGCCTGGATCAAAGCCAGGGAGACGCAGCAAGAATGCTGGACGTCACACACAGAAAGAATGTGGAAATCTTTATTACCTTAAAGGTTGTTCCGCTCAGTAGACCATTAACGCCAACCAGTATGGTTGCTCACATGACTTGACCTGATGGTTTTCAACCGCTGCTTGGTTTTAGAATCACTTTCTGCTTGAAGCACACAAAGGTGTTTTAATGACTCCCTTGTTTCTCGTTGCATACCATGTCACTCAGCTTTGGCAGATGGGCCCACAACCATGACAGGCACAAGAGAAAACCCCATAACAACCACATAATGGGTGTATACTAATGTTTATGGTATAAATGTTATGAAATATTCCATGTTATCTTTGTCTTTTCCTCAACATGGGTGTGTCTTGTTCTTAAAGTGTTGCACTCCAAAGAAAACAAAGGGAAATTAGGGTGTGTTAACATTTTTATGTAGGTGATTAAAGATGAGGAGCCGTTTGGTTTTTGTAATATCCAGATGGCTTTTTAGCCTAAACGGTGAGAATCAAATGAAAAAAGAATTGTAAATTTAATTTGCAATTAATCTACTGCCTTTGCTGAACATATAAATACAGTTTGTTGGCTGTGTCGAAGAAAGATGCTGGCTGTGTTCCATGTACAGTATGTATAGAACAGTATGTATACAATATGTACTCTTTAGCATTGATAGACCATCTGAGCCTGCAGGTGAGGTGAGGTGAAGAGAGACAAACACTATGCACAATGCCGATTTGTTTTGAACAGAGGTACAGTTGTTGCTGTAAAGGGTTACAAGACTCTCCAAAGGGCTTTTAGTTTGAAATTTGGGATACAGGAAGTGGATACATGCCAACACATCCAACGAGAGGGAGAATATGGCCTAAAATTGGGTTCAATAAGATTTTGAGCTTGTAAAATGATGTTCATAATGATGTTCACAAAAAAAACAGAGTTTATAGTTGTAAAGCTGTCAAATAAATCCGCAGGAGAAATTCGGTTTCATGTGTAGAAAAGATTTGTATTTAAAAAAAAGACATAAAGATATAAAACACAAAGTTCCCACACTAGCTGTGTCTGGGCCACACCCTTTGAGGGTCTTCGAAATGAGACGATCTGGTCTACGGAGGATTTCGTATTTTTCCACAGCCGCTAATTTGAGCTCATGGAAGAGACAGAAAGAAGAGAAAAGTAAAGAGAGTAGAGAGAAAGGTATATTTAACTAGCCAGTTTCCCCAACAGTACAATAATCTTATTGAGTGTAACAGACAATTTATTGCTTGTGTTAAACACAATAAGTATTACTCGAGCACATGTTTTCAACTTGACTGTTTAAAAGATGTACATGTGGTGATTTTACTTTCTTTTCACCAGACTGCACATACAGTGATGCACAGGCTGAATTCCATTTAGCAGCATCAGTTTCAGGATCCTGGTATAATTCACTTACTGGGACCCTTGAACTGAGACATTTTTAATCTTATTAGTGACACTTGTGCTTTTTCTGCTATGACCAGTTAAAATGTCTTTTGTGAAAAAGGCCTTTTGAATTATTATCTAGACAACAAACATACACGTGGAACTGAAAAGTAACTTGTCATAATGATACAGGACATAATGTTTGAGTTCTCAGTTTGAGCCCATTTCACTTTCAGTGTTAGAGAATACAGTCTTCCATCTGAACACAACCTCCTGTTTGTTGGATATCATACACCCACCACACTGCTTAAGGATGTTTTTCCCACCATCGGCCATGTTATTTTAGAATTTTTTAAGAATAATTTGGCCTCTGGCTCTTCAGACTGTTTTAAACATGCAGTTGCCGTTGCTCATCCAATGTGGACGCTCTATCCTGAAGTAATTACAGACCTTTCCGCGAATTGTCTTTAATCAAAGGTTCTTGAGAAAGTAATCTCATCCCAATTGACATCTTTTATGAACAGAAATAATGTTTCTAATAGTTTCCAGTCTGATGTCAGAGCCCACCATAGTACCGGGACAGCTCTTATCAATGTTACCAATGACTTGCTGTTATTGGTTGCTGACAATGGTTACTGCTCGCTTTTAGTTTGATATGGTCGATCATAGTATCACAACACAGGAAGGCATTAATGGCTCGGCCCTTACACTATTAAACTATAAAGAAAGTTATTATTATTATTATTATTATTATTATTATTATTATTGTCATAAATCAAAATACAGTATTTGCATGTGGTGATGTAGGACATGCATCATTTAATGCTCATAAATGCATTCAAGACTTTTACTTGTCTTCTTTAATGGACTTCTCTAATGGCCACTGCCAGCCCACCTCACCAGTTTATCATAGAACAAAATCTCTTTGACAGCTAAAAAACTGCATGTTGTCTTTGCACTTTCCTTGATCTAATCTGATGTTATTGTGCTAAATTTTCAGGTTGGTAAACTGCTGATGGAGAACGCCCAGCTGGCATTACAGTCTGACAGCATGAAGTCCAAAGCTGCTGCTGTCCAGGCCAGGTCAGCTGTGTTTGGCTGTTGTTTTCCTGAAAGCTCTAACACTCCCCTCCCTCACTCAATACAGGCGAGCCCTTATTGATCATTATATTAGGCATGAGATCACATCCCATAAGCATGCACTCATTCATACAGTTTATATTCAGTGATCAGATAAAATACAAGTTTCTGCCAGGAAAAGTGTGGGATTATCAATACTGAGCCATAAAACACCACAATATACAAAACAAAGCTGTGGAATAACTATCAACAATTTCCTGTTTTCATCCTGCTGCAGTGCATTTCTAGTCCTCTGTTATCTAACTCAGGCCAGTTCCCGCTCCTGTGAGCCAACCTGCATATAAATCCAGGCTGGGCTTTGTGCTGCGTCTGCAGTTTCACTTATGTATTGATGCAGAGTGACACTGAGCCCACCACCACCCCTCCCTCACACACACACACACACACACACACACACACACACACCACCCCTCTGCTGTCAGCCATTAACCCATGAAGGACAGTGGCAACGCACTGGAGCTTGAAATAAATACACCTGTTCTATTTATAGCTCCACCTGATGTGTCTCCTGACCAGCTGAGTGTAACTGTAAAATTCTGGACTGTGCTTATGACACACTTAGGATGATGTCTAGTTCTTTTAACTTGTAGTTATGATTTCACAGGCATAGGTGGTCTGTGTATGATTATTAGCTATTATTGGAATCTCTTTCAGATCAACTTAAAATGTATACTTGGCACGATTTAAGAATGTATCACTTTAAATAAATGTATCTTCTCCTATATGATTGTCTTGACTGTGACATATTACCTCCCTTTCTTCATATAAGGTTTATAAAACAAACCCCTGTTGGCATTGCAGGTGTGAAACAGAGGAGCGCAACACCCGGCATCTGGAGCAACAGGTGGCTCTGCTCAGGGAGTCAAAGACGAAGGCAGATCAGAGCAGTATGACGCTGCAGGCAGACTTTCACCGTTCCATGACAGAGCTGCAGAAGATGCACCAGGAGTATGAGGTCACTAAATGTACTGCAAATGCTCATTATGACATCTTTTTCTATGATTTCCCGGCTCGTCTGTCTGCCTGTTTTACTGTGCCGTCATCTTTCTATCTGCCTGTCACTCTACAACCTTTTTTATTTTGAAGTACACTTTTTTCATCCATGCAATAAAAATCACTTTACCATGAGAGCCTGACAGTGGAGGGAATGTCTCTTAATAAGATTGGGAGAAAATAAGAATACCAATATGAATATGCATGATAAAAATAAAAGAATAATCCCTTCCAATATTGAAAGCTTTGCTTGGTGGAGGATTTGTGTGCCTCAGTATCTCTTGAACCTTGCAAGCAACACCATGTGGCTGCAAATATGAGACATGTTTGGGTCAGTGTCTTCTGGACAAGAGCTTGTTGCAGGACCGACTGAGTTGTTTTAGACATTAGGTGAAATCACCTGCTTAATTGGTGGACAGGGATGGAGCTTCTTTTTGAAGTTTGCTGGAGATTGAGCAGGTAGAGATTGATTGTTGGACTCACTTATATTTGCCCTAGAACCAAACACCTATTAGGACTGGTCTCTCTTCAACTCAGGGGTAACACAGGATGAAAGGCACTCACATACCTCGAGCAGGCTCTCATGGTGGATAGAGGGTTGTATTCAGTCTTCTCAGAGAGATCATTGCAGACGAAGTACCACGGGTGTACAGAAACATTAATGTTAGTAATAACATCCAGAGGGCAGTGATTGGGAGGAATGGTCTGATCTTGTCTTAATCCAAGTGCGGAGTAGAGCAGTTTGGACAAGTGAGTGACTTGAAGCAATATTTTCTTCACTTGTGAAGAAAAGTGCTGAGGTTTTAGTTGGTAATGAGTTAGAGCAGATGGTGGGAAGCCTGCTTTCTACATTGGTTGAAATAATTTAATCTAGTTTTCCTTTTAAGAAAGTTTTTTTTGTTTATTTTGTTTGTAAAACAGTGCACATACAGTGTTTATTGGGCATGCTACTCATATGTTAGATGGATGGATGGATAGATAGATAGATAGATAGATACTTTATTTATCCCCTAGATTAAATTCATCTTTACATCATTCTGTCCGCCAATGAAATATTTCATATTTCAAGTACTTAATGGATTGACATAAAATTTAGTCTGTTTCCCCCCAGGATGGATTTTAATAATTTCAATGATCCCTTAATTGTTCATCCAGCACTATCTTCAGGTAAAAATTGTTATTTGCTACTGATTAGGTGCTGTTCCATTAGCCTTTACTCTGTGTTTAGTGCAAATGGCAAATGTTAGCATGCTGACATACTTACTTAACTAAGATGAACATGGTAAACATTGTACCTGTTTACCATTATCATGTTAGCATTAGCATTGCAAACATGCTAATGCATACTGACATTAGCATTTAGCTCAAAGCTGAATGCTAATGCCGAGGTCCAGCCTCACAGTGATGCTAGCATGGCTAAGACTCTGCGACTTGCTTTGTACTATAGTGAAATTGTGATATAATGTGCTTATTACAAGCACACAAGTCTGAGCCGAACCGATAACAGCTTGTTAGCCAGAAGCTACATGAGGCCTGTGATCCATTTGTCACCAAAACATTGAGCCAGTTTGATATGAGTACAAAATGTGACCACAGAGAATGACGACATTTAAGATGCTCTTTTTTACACCCTTGACCCTGATCCAGACAAGTGGTTTTAAAACAGAAGAGTGCATAAAATTATAACACACTGTATGTAATATATGTGTTATGCAACATGGTAATTGGACCGCCATTGGCACCTCCTCTCTGGTCACTGTTTTCACAAGTTTGAAAATACGTTGGTAGTCCCTCCCCTTCCGCTACGTAGCGAAGATGGCGACCAGAGGGTGAGAAATGTCCATCATTCCAAACTCAACTTTTTGACCATTTGGAGTGAACATGTGGGTGTGTGTTTGTGTGTGTGTGTGTGTGTGTGTGTGTGTGTTTACATGCATGTGTGACTAAAACATCTCCTGATTCCTCTCATCTCTTCACTCTTACCTCATCTACCCCTCCTCTTTCCACCCCCCCTTATCTTAATTTTCTCATTCCTGCTGACTAATGCCTCCTCCCCTCTCCTCCTTTCCTGCATATACACACATATATACACACATACATACACACAAGCACACACACACACACACACACACACACACACACACACACACAGACATGTATGTAGGGCTCAATGACCAATTTTTCTTTTTCTCCTGCCTCTGCATTGCGTTGACTGCCTCACTGCCCCCTGCCATACACACTCACACTCACACACACACACACACACACACACACACACACACACACACACACACACATACACACACATTCTCTTGCCCTTTTTCTCCTTTGCATCCTATGCATTCACTCAGACTGTAAGTCAAACTAATTTCATCTCTCTGTCTTGTTTTTCTTTTGTACTTCTATCCCTTTACATCATTCACTATCTTCTCACCCTCTCTTTGTCTCCCTCTCTCTCTCTTCCTCTCTGTCTTTCTCTCCCCCCTCCCTCCCCCTCTTGCTCCTTCTGGTTGGCTGTTTGCAGGCAGCCCAGGCTCTGCAGCTGCAGCGGGCCGGCTCCTGTGATGCCCTGTTAGCAACAACCACAGCATCAGCAGCAGCAGGAGGGGTGGAGGAGGATGGCACAGGGATGGAGCTCACCCAGCTCCTCGACCGAATCAGAGCGCAGTGCGACCATAACAGACTTCCCGGCCCTGGTGAGAGACACCATGGCCTGGGCGCAGTTTCAAATCCACCTCCCGGCTTGGTCGGGCCTAGCCGCTCTGGAGCCGGAGCAGCAGCAGCAGCATCATCCAGAACACACAGAGGAGCTCTCAGTGAGGTGTGTATCTCATCCTGCATCTTCACTTCATCTTTTTTTTTCTCTGTACCTCTCTCATGTTGTCCTGGCCCACCGCCAGACAGACACACCCTCAAGACCAACTCCAAGCCATAGGCAAGGCTGACTGATGTATGTGCTCGACTTGAGTAAAATGGTTAGTGGTGTGTTTGTTGACTGTGGTGAAAGGCTGTAAGCTTAGGACACGAGCCTCTCCCTCCTCTCTGTGCTCTCTGTGTATGTGTGCGTCTGTATATGCTTGCTTGCAGCTTTTTGCATGACTTAGCATGATTGCCGTCTCACTCTTTTCATCTACACACTGCTACATTCAGTGCTACAGACTATTACAGTAGTGTGTTACAACATACGATCAGTTACTACTCTGTGTGAATGATTCCTGATCTTCATTAAATATTTATAAGCCAAATTACAACTGAAGCATTCTCATCTATCCTGCAGATTTGTTTTTATCCTTCATCTAATAATAGCAGGACTTACTAAGCTGAAGTAGGAGCTTTTCTATTGTATTATTATCCCAGTGTTCCTGTGCCACAGCACAATGACTTTGGTCTGACAGTGACAATAAAGTGCTTTCGCCAAGGGCCACAAGCGACCACAGTGCTAAATCAGAGCAGGTTTTATGAAACGCTGTTGTTTACATCAGACCCACTCTGTCTGTCCTACTAAGGTAACCTCTACACAATGCTGCAGTTAAATGCCTGCATGATGTCCATAATAATATCGTATATAAATAATATACAGGGGAAACCTCTTCTCCCTGTGAACAGTTTTTTACTTCCTACTTCCATGAGCTGGGAAGTAAGGTGCAAAACCTGATGCAGACACCACCATAATTTTCAATGACATTAAAGCTCTTTTTAAGTTTAAAGCTGCCATGTGGAGTTTTCTTGCAAACAAACAAAAGTTCTAATTACATTCAGTGTTTCTCACCGAAGCTGTGTATCCCTGAAGTATAACAAACATGTGGAATGCATTTTGTTGCTTTATAACATTTGCAATACAAATCAGGTTTTTATATATATATTTTAAATCCTGCTTTGTTTACATCCGTGTATGATAGTTTGCCTTCTTCTTCTACACTGACTTTGTAGGCGCATCGCTACATTTCATTGCTTGTTACCGCTGCATCATGAACATGTGTCCTGAAGCATGGATACGATATTAACCCAACAGGAGCATTACTAGTGGTGAAAATCTCCACAGGGTACCTTCAAATTGTTCAGATAAAATCTCTGTAATGGTATATAATATAAACTGTGAATCAGCAACAGTATATACAGATGTACAAACACCAGACAAGTGATGTCTGAAATATAACCTGAGATACTTAAGTACAAGTATTTTTATAGTGAGTTATTTTTCTTGGATCTAAATACATCCTCCACCGCTATCTGAGATGACAGATGGAATGATAATTCAACTTCCTCTGAAACTTAACCCCGAACAGTAAGTTCTTGAGGAAAATGTCTGATGTAACCAGTAATAAATTGCTGATGTTGCTGATATTTTCTGCCTAAATTTGCCTACTGCATAATTCTCCTATTAATTAAATAACATTTAATGCAGTTAAAGAGAAAGAGAGAATCATTGGAGTAAGAAATCAGACAATAACTTAGATAACATGGAGGAGTCAACCTGTTTTGTTTTTACTGTCAAAATATTGTCATAACTGTGCTGAGACAGTTTGACTGCTTCACTGCATTTGAAAGAGGACAAAGATGACTGGTTTGAAAGGCCTAACAGCTGTACAGTGTGTTAACACAGCTTGTACGGTACAGCTGTGTGTACACGCAGGCTTGCATGTCTGCTCCACTGTCTGTTTACTTAAACTGAAGTGCACACTATCCACAGCACTACCTGAGGCTGCCTCTCCACTGGCTGTTTGACTGAGTGCCAGTTACCCATAAGGTGTGTGTCAGTGCGTGAGGTGGTTGTATGTGCTTCTCATAAGGCCTGACTTGTTTATCCGGTACAGACATTAATTTCAAGAATTAACCATTAGCACACGAATACATTTGGTACACAGTTATTTGGTTATCTTATCTCAAGGTTAAAGACTTGTGTTGTTGTGTTTGCTAGTGAATAGAATTTAAAATGAGTGAGAGTGTGTGTGTGTTCGGCTGCGTGTGTTTGGCTGCGTGGGTGGTAGTGGTGGTGCTGCTGGGGTTCTTGTACCTCTTTTAAAGACTGTGATCCCCGTCACCTCACCCAGGAGGAGGCAGCGTGGGCTCAGGTGAGCCTCGGCGGCGCTGCCCTGAGGGAGGCGCGGGCCGAGCTAGCTGAGGCCAGGAAGCAGTGGCACTCCCTGCAGGTGGAGATTGAGACTCTGCATGCCTTGGTAAGACACACATCATCACGCATCACCAGGGCTAACTCCCCAATTATCACACAACTTGAATCCTATTAATCTTAAGTATTGGACAGAGTAGAATCCAAAATGAAAAGTCAGGAGATCACCAAAGTTATTAAAAATCCATCCTGAATGTCTGCACCACATTGACAGTTCATCCAATAGTTTTTCAGATATTTCACTCTAAACCACAGATGTCAGCCTAATCATGGTTCTAGCAGAAAAGTCAGCAGATCACTGAAGTCAGTAGGATTCATCCCCCAGGGACCATGATTGTCTGTACAAAACTGAACCGCAATCAGTTAAACAGACTTCGTCAGTCTGGACCAAAGTGATGGAAAGACTGATAGGCATTAGCGTCCCGAGAGCCTGGCTGCTAGCATGATGAAAAACCAATAAAGTAACAACCTGTTTACAATGAAATAAAATGTTGAGTAACTAATGTAACTTTAATCTTATAATTACATATATTACATACATATACACAAGATATATATTCTTTGGTTGTTATCACATTTGAATTTAAATCTTAAACAATAAATGATATGATATGAATGATTGCAAGTGTTTCATGGATACATTTTTCATAAGCTTCAACATTTCACATCCTCAAACATGAATTTGTACTGTTGCACTCCTGGTGGTGGGAAGCCAGTGAGGGATTATGTTCACTATACTTACTATACTATTTATAACATTATTAGTTTCAACACGCTTCTATGAACCCAGTGTTATTTAAAAACATAAATATTATAACTGTATATTATATAACTGTCCAGGCATTATGCTAATAGCCCCTGGCCTCTTGCTGTCCAGGAGAAAGGCCTGGAGAGCTCCTTGCAGCACACCCAGCGAATGTACTCCAGCCAGCTGCAGGACCTTTCCCAGGTGATCGTCGGGCTGGAGAGTGAACTGGAGCAGGTGAGGGATGGTCTGGCCACCCAGCGTCAGCGCCACAGCCAGCTCCTCAACACCAAGATGAGACTGGAGCGAGAGATCGCCACGTACCGACGTCTGCTGGAGCGGGAGGAGGGCAGGTGAGGGCAAGAGGCAGAGAAAGGGATGGAAAGATTAGAGGAACCAGGAAGGAATAATTCAGTGGGAATTTTGTGGTTTTAGTGTCAAACAGGAAATAAATTTTTACTTTTCAGTTGAAAAGGATTCCATTGAATACTTGCAAGGGAAAAGTATACATCACACACACACTCATAAACCGACATGAGTAAGACAGAAACTTCCTCAGCACTTGACAAGGAAGTTAACAAAATTATTTCTTAATCATGTCCTTTATTTAGCTGTCAGACAGACAATGTCATGTATTATGTGTTGTGTCTTACCCTGGATTAGGTGGATTTGATCTGTATAGAAAATCAAAATCCACAATAATTGCAGGTCAAGACAGACTAAGGCTGTAGAGTCCTCCCACACAACATAGTGACATGCAGTAACGGTGATTGGAAATTGACCATATATGTTTCATATAGAAAGCACAAACAATAAATTAAGTGAAGCTGACAAACTTTCTGCCACTGAATTGTAACCTAAAAATCCAGCTTTGTCTGTAATCAAACAAGATGATAGAACCCAGACAGTCTGTCAGCATCACGCTGTTTTATTAGGGAATGTTCCATTCTTTTTCCGTGGCCTTTAATTATCCTCACATGCGATTTTGACTCACATCGAGCTCCAGTGCAGTTTGGTACGTTTGCTTGCGTCAACCATATGATTGTAATTTTATAGTTTGTGGAAGGTAATTTTGTTTTATGACTCCTGTAAGGGGTAACAGAGTGATTGATGTGCCGCTTTTGGTTTTCCTCATTTCTTTAGATTGCAGAAGCTTTTCATTCAGAGTCTGACTTTGACTGATGTTATTGATGCAAGGAGAGACAGGACTTGGCATCTGAAATTTGCATTGTTTGTTCATATTTGAGAAGGGTGGCGACTGAGTGGGTAGCAAGCGGAGGCTCAAAGGGCTGTGTGACAAATACAAGAAAGAGAAGAGAACATCCTCATACAGTAGAAAAGAGTCTTTCTTACTGAAACATCAACAACCATATAACCACAGAGGTTTCTGAGTTGGGTATGTCTGCAAATTCACCAAATAAAGGGCACAAAAGATGACTCTGATGATCCAGGCTGTGCAAAGAGAGATCATGTGTATTCATGGTTGAGGACTCTTTATCCACACCACATGAAGACACACATTGGGGCTAATATTTTAGCACAATGATAAGATAACAGAATCAAGTGTCTACAGCCTCGTTAGTAGCTCTGTGAGGCAGCACCTATGCACAGTCGTACTTTGAGCCAAATGCTAACATCATCAAGCTAACATGATCACAGTGAGAATGAAAACATGCTGATGTTTAACAGGCATAATCTTTACGGTGCTCATCATATTAGCATGCCAACCTTTGCAATGTAGCAGCAAACACAAACTACAGCTGAAGCTAATGGGAATGTTGTAAGTTTTGCAGATATTGAGTTATTCCCTGATGAAAACTCGGAGGATAGCCAAAGTTACTACAATTCATCCTGAGGGAAACATGAATGTCTGAGCCCAGTGAGCCTAGACCTCGTGGTGGTGCTACAGGAAAAGTTAGGAATCATAATGTCATCAGGCTTCATCCTCTGAGGACCATGAATGTGTCTTGGGCAAAGGTTCCCTATGGACCTTTTTTCTTACTTTTAGTGAGTTATGGAGCTGTTACTTGATAAGTGGGTCCTCAATGAAGATGCGCATGCATGTGTTTGACACGATGAACCAATGGATCAACAAGTGGCATGGAAGAAGAAGACTGCCAGTTAAACATGGATGTAAGCAATGCTTCAATTAAAAATCTGCTTTTTGGTGAGTAGCACTGATTATAAACATAACTTTTATTTGTTTACAAGAAATCTCCACAGTAGTCCTCATGAAGGCTGCTGAAGTAGCAACAGCACACTCTTCCTAAAAACAAATAATGCAAATGTTGACCAGAAAGACCATGAATCCAGCTCACTTATACTCTTTCAGGTATTGTCGTCAAGTTACCAATACAAAAAATTACAAGACATAATGCAACATAATGTGTTGGTATCAATCTAATGTTTAGGGGTAAAATGTGTCTGCTGTCCTCCCAGCTATTTGCCTATAGCCCCCTTTGCTGGCAGACTTGTCACCATTTGTTGCAATCTGCACCAATATTCTCCAGTCAGAATCAGAAAACATTTGTTAATTGAAATTGCTTTGTTGCAATTGCACAACACACAGCTGGGTGGGGGTGGGGGGGATAAATAAGTAAAAAAGTAAAAACTAAAACATAGTCATATAAAAATAGTATAAAATAAAATATTAATAATAATACTAAATACCTAGTAAGTGAATACAAAAATGTACAAAATGCAAATGTACAAAAAGTAGAATCGCCAGGACTCTTTAGCATTAGCATACAAAGTGGAAAGTGGGGAGAGTCCTCTCCAGTTGAACTCACAGGGATCATGAAGAAAGCACTGGGGTGCAGAGTCCAGAGTCTCACAGAAATGGAGTGGATAACTTTACACGCGGTTGCAGGGTTGTAAAAGGGGGGTGTAAACAACAACCAAAATGAAACAAGATCCGAGTTCTTGAATGGGATGCTACAACTCTTCAATTAATTTGTTTTATCCCCCTTCCTGCCTCTTGCTAACTGCTGTTCATGGATGGTATAATTAGGAAAAGTACTGTTAGGAAAACACAGCCCTGCAAGACAGACTCTTACTCTCTGTCTGTCTTGGGGGCATCAATGACATGCCCTTGCCAGCATAATTGATGTTGGATGATTACTGTCACAGTACTCTTGTTGTTGGTTTTAGCACACGCCACTGTAATTCTACTGGTGCGTTGCAGACTTATAGGGACTATTTGATGTTCCTTGATGTGTTGGCTGTGGGTGGTCCAGGCTTCGTAGACAACTTTCATTGGAAGATCCTCCAGCGTAGGTTCCCAAAGTCTCATTCAATCTGGTTTTGTTCAAGAGCCAACAGTAGAGACAGAAGAACTAAAGTTATTTTAGGGTTAGGACTATAAGCGTAATCATCGACATATTGCAGCTCAAGAACTTGCTCCCTACAAAGCCGAGTGGTTGGTTGGTGCCCCCTTGTATAAAATAGAAATGCAGCTCAGGTGCCTCCCATTTCTCCTGATCATCTTTGAGATGTTTCTGTGCCTTGATTGGAGTCCACCTGTGGTAAACTCAATTGATTGGACATGATTTGGAAAGCCACACACCAGTCAATATAAGGTCTCACAGCTGACAATGCATATCACAGCAAAGTCCAAGCAATGAGAGTTCAGAGACAGGACTGTGTCGAGGCACACATCTGGGGAAGCCTACAAAAGAATTTCTGCTGCATTGAAGGTTCCCAAGAGTACAGTGATTCTTACATTGAAGAAGTTTGGAACAACCAGGACTTTTACTAGAGCTGGCCAACCAGCCAAACTTAGCAATAGAGAGAGAAGGGCCCTGGTAAGAGACATGACGAAGAACACATTGGTCAGTCTGGCTGAGCTTTAGACATCATGTGTGGAGATGGAAGAAACTTCCGTAAGGACAAACATCTCTGCAGCACTCCACTGATATGGGCTTTATGGGAGAGTAGTCAGAAAGACACCTCTCCTCATTCAAAGACACATGAAAGTGTCTGGAGTTTGCAAAAAAGCACCTACTGGAGTTTTAAACTTTGAGAAACAAGATCTGGTCTGATGAGACCAAGATTGAACTGTTTGGCCTCAATTCTAAACATCATGTCTGGTGGAAACCAGGTAGCATGGCGGTGGCAGCATCAGCTGTGGGGGTGTTTTCAGTGGTAGGGACAGGGAGACTGGTCAGGGCTGAGACAAAGCTGAATAGGGCAAAGTACAGAGTTATCCTTAATGAAAGCCTGGTCCAGAGTGCTCAGGACCTCAGACAGAACCAAAGGTTCACCTTCCAGCGGGACAATGACCTTAAGAACACAACCCAGACAATGCAGGAGTGACATAGGGACAACTCCATGAACATCTTTGAGTGGTTCAGCCAGAGCTCTGCCTTGAACCTAATCGGACACCTCTGGAAGTGAAAATGGCTGTCTACTGATGGTCCCCATCCAGACTTTCTAAACTTCTGTTTTCACTGTGTCATTAAGATGTATTGACTGTAGACTGATGAGGGAAATTTTGATTTAAATCATATTTGTGTAAGGGTGTAGAATAACAAAATGTGAAAAAAGGGGTCTGAATACTTTCTGAATGCACTGTGCTCATTATTCATTTTGGCTATGATTACTCAGTGTTTCCCATAGTGTGGGCCAGGGCCCACTGGTGGGACACAAAGGTATTGCAAGTGGGCTGACAAATCATTTGCAAAACAGTACAGTTTTGGTGAAAAGATGTAATAATAAAAAGATAAAAATATGAATAATGTTTTTAAATGTTTTTAAATGAAATTATCTTTAAAAACATTGAAAATGTTGAAAACCACATTGTATACTTGTTTCCATGGAAAAACTGGTAAATGGATAGCTGGTTAGCAACAGGAAGAATTAAAAGGAAAGAGTCAAGAAGACAGATAATCAATCGACGAGAGATCTCTACCCAGTTAAATAAAATAATCATTCATTAAAATAAAAAGTACCTTTTCTTTGGCAGCTGTAATGTTTGGGGTCGGATGTGGGCCGTCAACATTTTTGAGATTTTCAAGTGGGCTGTGAGTTGGAAAAGGTTGGGAACCACTGCTCTATATACTACCCTTGTGGCTGCAGGTACATGGGTCGTGAAGGGCAGCCGATGAGTCTGCGACCCTGGAGGTCTTCTGTGGTGGAGCTGAAGGAGAACGGGCTGGAGAACGGTTTCAGTGACCCTGCTGTTAGTCCGGATGAACCCAAGTCTGAGCCTCTGCCTGAAATACCGTCACTCCTCCCAGCAGAGAATGGGATAAAGAAAAGCATACTGCATAGACAGCAAAGCCTTGTGATACTCACAGGTAAGACACACACACACACACACACACACACACAAATGCACTCACACTCTTACTACAGTCAAGTCTTGTTATGATTTGTTGTTCATTCAGAGCCAGAACAAGATAAAGACTTGCCAATCTCCACCGTGAAGACTCAGGAGATTCTTCAGGGCAATGTTGTGCGGGAGAGTGCAGAGGGTCACGGCACCATCGAGTAAGTATTGATCTTTGTGCCCCTCATTGACCTGTAGTCAGCACCTCTGCTTCAGTCTGAAATGTAGGCAATTTTTAGCAGCAGGTGTTAACAGGATCATTTTGTAGTGCACTTTTACAGTACGCAGATAAATGCCTTTTTACCTACGAAATAACATCATTTCTAGTTGGGTTAATCTCCCAAAGCCTTAACATCTCTCAGTTACACACCTCAGGCTTTGACTCAGTAAGCTTTTTATTGACTCATTTTTTCCTGATGACACAATCATCCATGTCCTCGCCACTCCGGCGACGTCTGGTCCCGCAGACAAGATGTACAAACTCTTTTTACTATGTCATACACGTTACAAAAGCATAAAACGTTTAGTTGGCTATACAGGTTCCCATGAGTAATTCATCACAGCACTGCATGGGAATTTTTCTTTCTTTAATGGCTTGTGTTTGATGTGGAGATACCCGCCTGGTGTGGAGTCTTCAGGGTGTGGCACCTGTTATTGTTGGATGAGACATGGGTGGAATTCTTTGTTTATGCTTCAGGTGTTACCAGCCACACGCACACACACACACACACACACACACACACACACACACACACACACACACACACACACACACGCACACACTTGCATAATGCCCAAAGAGAGCTACACATGCACAGCCACTACCAGCCCAGGGGCCAGTGTGTATTTAAAGTTATTGCCATTTTATGAACTTCACAAATGAGGATAATTATTCCAGCTCACATTAGGCATGGCAGGGTGCTGTGGTGTGTTTTGGAGGGCCTCTTGCACATTTTGTCCCAGCAGCCGTTTAATTATTTAGCTCAGATTACTTGCTTTTGTCGTTTAACTGTGATCAGCAGGTAGTGCAAGTCACTCCAGCCCACAAATGTTATTTTGTCTGGATGTTCCCAAAATCATTCATGTATGATTCTTCCACTGACAGGAAATATTATCTTATTGAAAATACTCCACTCGTGTGGCTCAGTCAGTCTGCAGGTATTGATGGAACCGGTGTTTGCCATCTGAATTTCCACTAAACCATTACAGCCCCCCCTGTAACACTGCGGTGTTTTCTGTTGCAGTATGGACGAGTTATTACTCTTTAAAGCTGCAAATCAATATTTTACACAATGGAATAAATGACAACATGTAATATGAGAGGGGTCACCTGACTCTGCAGCTCACCTCAGCTCTACAGACCATTTTAGCATCTTTTAGCTCATTGTTTTGGTTTAGTCTCAACACTATCATCAGCCTTGTTTCCATGAGGAGCAGCTAGCTTGTTAGTGACCAGCTAGTGAACATAGTGGACCATTTAGCAGCTGAAGAACTAGATATTTCCCTTAGGAGTTGGTGAAGACTAAAATAGAGTGAACAGGATATTGAATATTGGACTTGTCAAGGGGCCAGAAACATGACTCCAAATGAATGCTAATGGACTGTAGCTCCTTAACTACTGCTTGTGTAAATAGGCACTTTTTGCTAATAAGCCTGTCAAATCAACTTTAAAAGGTGCTTTGTGTTTAGAAAAAAAAAAAAAAAACGCAATTAAAACAAGGGAACCAACATCTCTCACATGGTAAATGGTTTTTTGGTACTTTTATTGTAAACCTTTACAACCGTTCTTCTAAAAGCACAACAAATATAAGATCCCAATGCTCAAACCTTTATTCCTTGCAGCCCTGTTTATCTATAAATCTGTTAGATTACCCTGCGACAACCTTGCAAATACAGTGCTTTCCTTTTCTGGTGAGGCTTCATTGCATCATTTTGAATGTTGTTTGGTTGAGATCGTTTACATGATCCCAGGTTCGGATCTGATTCTATTATATCTATTCAGTATACCACACTGATTATGTGTTATCAGGAATTATGTGCATCTTCAGTAATATAACTCTTCTGCAAGGCCTTATTTAAGATTCTTCAAACCGTCACATTTCAGTAGCGAGCTGTTCTCCCCTGCTGCCCCCTAGTGTCATTGATGAGGGGATTGAACAACCTGTCTCACCTACTGTGGTTGTATAATGAACACATTAATGACTCAGAGGATTATTTACTTCATGTCATTACCATAGCCAATCCCACATGGAAATACAAGATACAAATTATTTAGGCGTACCACATTCTCTGCGTGTTCCTGAACAAAAGGAAACATGTTTTACACTTAAACAGAACTCACAACATAAAAAACAACTGTTTTTTAATGACAATACATAATAATAATCTGGCAATGAATGATGTCATGTGACTTTTATCAAATATCAATCTTCACCTTTGCCACGACCTCTAACCTGTCTTGCCAGGACGGAGAAGATTGACAAGGTGATAAAGCAGTGGGAGGGCTCTTTCTTCAGAGGGAATCCCAAGCTGCGGAAGAAGTCGGTGTCGCTGCGCTTCGACCTGCACATGGCTGCGGCAGACGAGGGGTGCGCCCAGACTAAACAGGACAGCCTCCCTGACGTGGAGGTGCGTCTCATCATGAAGAGATCCCGCAGCATCCCAACTATCACACAGTAACTCTGTCACCAGTTGATCAGAGTCACCACTGGTTTGCAGCTGTTTGTGGTAATACAGGTGACGCTGAAGTTACAGAAATAGCATCTGTGTCGTTCACATCTGGGATATTACCATCCATTGCCATCATGCTTAGTATGAATTTCAAATTACAACCTTCACTGAACTTTGGATCACCACTGATGACTGAAACAAAGATTCCTCTCAACAGATCTTGAGCTTGGCAGGATAGGCATTACCCATCAGGCTTTTATTTTTATGCTGATCTAATGGGGCCATTTTTATAGCATCAGAAAGCCACTTCCGATATATCAGACCTACATTTATTACATTACAGATAATAACAATTTAATATGCAAACATATTTCTCCATCATCATTCTAGATGAGGAAAAAGTGTCTCTCAACACTGGTATTATTTCAGTGTGAGGTCACTGAACAAAAGAGATTATATCGACCATATGACTCTGCCTAACTACAGCATTTCATTTTAATTAACTCTCTACAGGAGGCTGCGTGCACAGATAGATGGAGATAAATGGAGGTGTAGAGTTACAGATCACTATGAGCTGCTGTGAACTATCTGGGGTGGATTTTTTTAAAATAGATTTTCAGTAAGGGACTGTGCAGAAATTATTAGGGGGAGGAGGTCACAGAAAATGAAGAGGCTCAGTGGGAGGGGTCTTAAGTAATTAAATGTTATCTTTCTGGGGTGCACATGATTTGTCACCCAATATTACAGCTCACACAGCCACTTTATTTTGTATTTTAACAAAAAGGCAGAACTACAGTAAAATAACTAAATGTAAATGTGCCATATGAAGTGACAACAACAGCTCTTTGTTCACAAATAAAGAAGGGTCAGATTATCTGGTAAAACAGTTGGTAAAATACCGAAAATTTGGTAAAGAATTTTCTTATGTTTGCTATAATTTTATCTAATTCCACTCCACTACTGAGAAGTTTGAAGGTTATATTCCATTGTAGAGTAACTTTACACTAAATTCACTTTTTTGTTTAAGTAAATTACATGTACGTCACTTTATTACACCATTGATCCTGGTCCCATTTTATAATGTTCATTACAACAGAAGTTATTTTCCTATGACCTAACCAGGGACCCACTGCCCCAAAACTACCAGGCAATGTTCAACGTTCACCTCCCACCCCCAGCACCCTGACATATACACACTTCAGTCAGCTGTCAGCAGTGTGAACAGTGTGGAGTATGGAGCTGAGATTAGCAGTAATAGGAATATCACAGTAGTAGAAATACATCTTCTGCTACTAAGCTAGCAGTTGGAACTGGAGTACACAATTTTAAATTATTAGTGCACTCTTTGTTATTAATGGAAGTGTTCAGCCGTGTTACATTACGATGACATATTGTGGAGAGGGTGTTCATTTTTTTCTTTTTATCAAGGGTCCAATGAAAATATTAATTGAGAGTGAAACATAGTCTCGAGCCCCCCTCCTCACCTAAATAATTTTCCTACGATCCCTAAATGCTTGCACTGCAGACACTTACAGCACTTAGAAGAACATCAGCACTGGGGGATATCCAGAATGTGTATACTTTGAGGGTCTTTGTCATTGCCTTTCATTCTCTCTCATGTGGAGAAAAAAATATCTTGCAACTCAAACTAATAATGTAGCTACATTTTATGACGCATTATCCCTAAATAACTCACTGTGATCTTAACAGCAGTGAGTCAACGTGTGTCTCAGAGAATTTAGATTCCCTGTCTTAACCAGAGGAGGGCAGTATTTGTAAATAGTTAACACTGCAGTGTATCTTCAATGCTCGACTCGGGTTGTGTAACACATGCTATCTGTTACACCTTAGAATAAGAGTTTTTACGCTTAAGTTTTGAGTTGGCACCAAAGACATGAAAAATAAGAAATGGACCATGGTGCATTGCATTTGGGTGCCTCAGAATATGTTGAGAATATTTAAAAAATATTATCTATGCAGTTCTATGCTTGATTTTGCTTTGCTTCGTGAAGCACACTCTTCATTTTGGGAGCTCTGAAACTTCAAAATGAAGCATTATGCTTTTATCTTACAATGTATCATTTAAAATAAAAAAGAAATATGTGCACACTGTCTGTCGAATGTTCCATCATAATGTCCATGTGACTTACTGCAGTGTCTTCATTTATTTTAAGAGGGGCTTTGATGTTGAGGTGCAGGAAAAGAAAAACTTTACCCTTTGTCACACATTCACCACATGCATGTTATTCTCAGAAATAGACATTTGTAAGCCCACACATACAGAACTTCAGTGGTTCAATGTACTAATTTTTAATAATAACAATTAAAAAAAATACAAATCCATTAATATATAGAAAGAAATTGTTTACAGTGCAGTATAATAAATACATTCTGAATTGTACAACTAGAGTATATGCAAAGTTTCTGCTTTGAAATGAAAGGACATATTGCTTTTCTTCAAGTCTATTAACAGAACTTTCAAATTCCCTCATCGCTTTATTCTACAGCATCAGCAGGAGCTGATTTACAGCTCCATTTACACAGGAACCATTTGACATTAAGATAGAAGACAAATAAACTGCTGTAACATGTGCTAACCTCTATGCTGGTTTTTCACATTTTATACAATAACATTGTACATTGAAATTATTTTCTGGCCAACTTCATATATTCAGCAAGAGATCAATATTGATGTGTTTTTACAAGATGGTTAGATATTATTTTAACAGTAGTCGTGTGCCATTCAGTTATAATCATACTGTATGTTGTTGGTCCCATGTCTGTTTTCTTCTTGCTTGTCAGTCCTGTGTATCTTCATATATGCCAGTCTTCCACTGTCTTCTCAGCTTGACCATGTTACAAAGCTGGGTAGTCCTAAACACTTCTAAGATAACTTGCTCAGTTTAACAACTGCAGGAGCAACACTCACAATGGCCACCAACACCGAACAGGTTACTTGAAGTATAGAGCACAGTATAGACAGATATCTTAAGTAGGGCCTTAAAGACCCATCCTGGATGAGTTGTCCCAGGCCTTGTGTGTCTATAGCTTGGCTATGGCACCCTGAATAACCTCGATGACCTTGTTGCAAGGTTGCAGGGGATCATATTCTGCAAAGACGTGGCATACATTCTCCATGCCAGCATCTACGCCTTTTGCCACAAAGCCAAACATCCTGTTTGGACAAAGAAATGAAAGATGAGATTTAATTTGAACAAAACCCAAGTACAAGAAATGTTTTTTAAATTAAAGTATAAAAATTGTAATGAATTGCAGGTGCAGGCTGTAAACCTGAGAGGGTTCACTATGGATCCTCACATGAGCAATACATAGAATTTACACCTACACACAAAACATCATTCTGATAATGTTAGCAATAAAAAACAGTCCAAAATTACCTTGCACCAAAACTGCAACCTTTTACCCACCTGTGTAGATAAAACAGACAAAGTTTAAATAATGTCTTTGATGACCAACACATTTCATATTGTGGTGAACTAAATAATGTGACATATGCAGTACTAATGCAGTGATCTATGAGCTCTTAACCCACGGTTACCCACATGAAAGAGACTGTGACAGCAGTGAACATTACATGATTTTGTTTCCAACAAAGACTTATATCGTTTTTATTTATCATTTTATTATCTTTTATTTTATAACATGTTGTTGTGTACTCACAGTCGATTGTCTGGATCTTCGCCACTGTAGCTAAGCAGGTGAGTAGGGTAATGGCGTCTGAAGAAAAGCCTGTGAAGAAATGATTATGGAGTTAAAAATTTTCAGTCCTCACAAAATGTTTCACATAAACACCCAAACCACATATCACCACCAGCATGATTTTTTTCTTAGTGTACTACAAGTAAAAATCTCAGCTGTGGGTTGACAGGATGTTTCTTTTCTTACTTCCTGTTGATATCTGTCAGCGTTACACCCTTCAAAGACACCTTCAGGTTGACTACAGTTGGTATGAAGGAGCCTGAGGTCTTCTGAAGTGTTGAGGACACTGCCTTCTGCACTGCACAAGGGCCCGTCAGCATTTCAGTGGGGACAGCATTCAAGTAGATGAAATTGCTAGCTATGAAAAAGTATAATTAGAAAAAGAGATTTAATACGCGTGCACATAGCATTAAAACTAAGATAGTCAAGCATACATTTAAATAAGCGTAGCCCCCTCCAAATCTCTCCTGGATTGTTAGTGGATTAATCCATGTTTATTTTACACACAGGGAATTAGGATTCGCTGGCACTTTGTGACATTGTGCAACTGTTGTTTATTGGTTAGAAAAGCCTGTTACATCAACGTATTTCATTCTCAATTGGAAAATATATATTACTATGCATACACAGTATATCGTTTCAAATATGATTTGGCCCTAATTTACTTTTATTTATCACTGACAGGAAACAGTGTTCCAGTGTACTTACTACTACTACTGTTTTTTGTATATTAAGAATAGGGTTAGTTACACTTACATTTACTCACTTATACTTAACATAATTAACTACTAGACAAATGTATTTCCTCTACCCTTTCTAAAGTAAAATGTAGTATGTATTTATATGTCAATGTATTTCAACTAACCAGTGCATGTTTTTGGGGTTGTTTGAGCAACTTGAAAAACATTTGGTTGTTTAATTATTATACACTGCCAACCAAAAAGTAACTGAGTACATTTACTCAAGTACTCTAGTTAAATATAATTTTGAGTTAGGCCTACTTGTGCTTTACTTGAGTATTTCTGGTTTCTTTATACTTCAACTTCACCACATTTCAGAGGTAAGTATTGTACTTTTACTTCGAGTTACTTTGCAGATTAAGATTTTGCATTAGGTCATATCAATCAGCTGTCGTATATTCACCAATTATCTTGAGTAAACAGAATCACATCAGACTTTTTACTCGTCATAAAAGATACAGTACATACAGTACAGCCGTAACTAATCTTTGCTGGTTCCTTATATTTAAGAGTAGGGGTCAGCCACATCATACACAACAACAGGAATTAAGTACTGGCACACCGAAATTGAATGCAGCCTCCACTAATTAAGGTAATTAATCACACCTGTGTGCTTTGCCTTCTATGGTTCGTCACGTTTCTGGCCCAGATATGTAGCTATGTGGAGAGGTGTCTGTGGTGAGAGTAAAACCTGCATTCAAATCTACCATGAATCTGTTTTCTCATTTAAAACAGCTTCAAGTTAACGTAACTTAAATATAAACTATTCTAATTCAGGACTTTCTGGAAAATCTCTCCGAGGAGTCCTACAGACATGAAGCTAGTATTTAAATTTAACGGTAAACGTCAATTAGCCAGTGGTGTGGGACAAGCTAGCATTTCCTACATGTCTGCAGAACAATGAGACAACGGAAGAAGAAAAGGTAAGAACCAAAATGGAAGTTAATGTAGTCTTTTTGCACTTTTGTTAGTTAAATGTAACGCCTTGTCTCATGTTTGTTTATTATGTCTTAGCCCACTAATGTAAGCTGTTCTTGCTGATTGTTCTTCTTTTTCTTCTCCTATGTTTAAATGGCACTTGGTAAGCATTACTCAAAGAAAAGTGCTAGCAAATGCACTGATTAACCTTGCATTATATGCAAATGTAAACAAATAGGGATACTTGTCTGTATTTTGTCTCACCTGTTTTACTCTTGTCCTCAGCAGGTTTGTCATTTACCCTCTCTTCTGCTGTGGCCAGATCTGTGAGGGCAAATAAGAGATTAAGAGATGAGGTTGTCATTTTTCTTCCTTGTTTCTCTAACAAACACACACACACACACACACACACACACACACACACACACACACACTAAACCTTGTGAGTGGCAATTAAGGTTTACTTACCTTGGGAGTGCAGCAGTAATCTGCAGGGTAAAGCGTAAGCCGAGATAGTGTGCTGGTAGACCAGGGCTGAGAGACTACCTTTAAAAATGACAAGGAATCATAGATTTAAGAACAAATTCATTGTCTTCGGAACATGAAAAATTCAGATATCTCCCCTTACATCATTTTAATGTGTAAATGATAATGAGTCGTTTTTGGGGTTTTTTTAAGATGTGTATGATAACTTTGCTTTTTGATTATTATCTGAACCTTGATATTTTTGATCTGTTGGGAAGAAGTTTTTTTGACGTGGGGATTTTTCAGAACCACCACAACTGTAATGAAAGTCAATATAAATGCGGGTAGGTTACGCTAGTGCACATCTCATACACCCACAGGCTCTGATAAGCACAAAGACACAACAATAAAACTTGATAATGGCTCTGTGGGTGTGAGCGCACACCCTGTGAAGTCATACCTTGAAATAAGGTACAAGATCCCTTCACTGCTTCCCACCCACATTCCAAAAGCCAGACATGGCTGACTCAGTTGTGGTGTGGCAGACATTAGCCGGACCAGGATGTTTAGTCATATTGAGTAGGCGATTGAATACTGAATGGTTTGAAGGAAAACTGATAACATATAAATGTGCAATAAAGTAGGTGATGTTGACTTTTACAGCACTTACCAAAGTATGGTTCCTGAGAAGCGCCTTTGATACGTACGCCTTTAGCTGATGATTCAATAAGGAAGTGTCGCACAACATCTGAACTGCTCTCTCCTGTTGATATGATGTTGATAGATAAGAGTGACATGAGGCAGTGATTCCATGTAGCTCATGTTTGATCAACTATTTTTATATCATTTTTAATATTTATAAATTATTTTATTATCTTTAAGTCTCCTGCGCCACATGGTTCCCAGCTCATTAGAGAGAAACAAAAACAAGATGATAAAAATGCAAATCTATGAATTTAAATGAGATGATTTGAAAAGATACAGGACTGTCTTAGATAGGATAACCTGTAACCCGTTAAGATGCAGGGTATTCTGTCCTAGCTGCCACACATATTCTGTGTAACTCATTCATTCAACAAAATTTATATTTCACTGCAAATTTTCAGGAAAATAACATGAAAGCCAGAAATAGAAAACATTAAAGTGACGTCACGCGACCAAGGGTAATTGTTCTCTAATTATCCTTGGAGGGATAATTCAGCAGAGGAATATTGAAACAGACAACAAACTGTGAGCCTGCACACACTGGACTAGCCTCACTGCTAACTCACTGCTTTCATGTCATGCATCCCTAAAAAAAAAAGTTGACAAATATAAATATGCAAATGAAGTAAGCCTCAAAATTGTTTTGTGAGTGAGTTCCATTTTTTTTCTCAGATTGGTAACAGTGCCATAAACAGCTGGTTTTCTTTTGTGTTTACACAGGATATACTGTGGGTGGAAAAAATAACAGCGCTGTCTCCTGCCTCACCACAGATAGCTGGATGTCGTCTGACATGCCCATACACATCAGCAGAGCTGGGTAAGTGATTCCCTGTGCCTTTCAGGTCTCTGGTATAGACAAATGACGACAGCAGCACTGTGCTACACTCTATTCACGTCGTTTGTCTGTGAATGTGGTAGTTGTGGCATTTGAGACCTTTTCTTTCCTGTATCTCACCAAACACTGCTGTGACTTTTCATTATAGCATGTGATTGAAAAAGGAGTCAAGGTTTACCTGGGTAGGCAGTAGCAGTGAAGTTGTTGGGTGTTGGGTCCACCTTCATGGCCAGACCAAAACTGCCTCTGTAGGAGGTGCTGTCTCTGACCACAAATGCGCCTGCTTCCTTGTCTTTTACTAGGGCTTCAGCTAGAATGAATGAAACACCAGAGGAAATGCTTACTGACAGTTTGTATCTGTACTGAAGAAGAATCTTACATCCATGGAGAGAAAACACTGGATCTGGAGCTTGAGATTCTCACCTTCTGCTCTGCTGATATGTGGACGGAACCAAAACTTTGAAGTGTCCATGACGAATTTCATCGAGGGCTGACTGCCATTAAAATGGGCATGGAAACCTAAATAACCATAAAGACAGCAGGTCAAATAGTGTTGAAAATGCGGTAGTTACCAGCAAATCAAACTACTGTGACACCTGCGACTCACTGTGAGGAGCTGGCTTCGGGCTGGACGCAGAGATGATCTGTATCAAGTCAATTTGTGGTCCAGGAGACTGGTTGTACAGATCTGGTTGAGGTGCACCATTGACAAGCAGTACAGGAATGTCGGTCAAAGACCCAGAGAGTGAAGCAGGACTGCTGTGTCCTCCTTTGCTGTGCAGGTGCTCTTTCTTTGTCAGCAAGGGCTTTTCTGGGCTGTGCCTGTTATCAAAGGGCCTCATTCTGGACACATCGCTGCAGGAGCCAGACATACTGGTAAAGATGGACTCTGGAGAGTCATCTTCACTGGCCAAGGACAGGTTACTATGTCAGAAGGAAGAAGAAATGTCTACAGATATAATTTTATTTACAGATCCACACCCTATTCTTCATGTTTTTAGTTTACATCAGTAAACATTAACTTAAAGCAAACAGAAAAGGAGAAACATTTCTATTTGGCTATTTACAAGTTGCTGCATGTACAAGATGCATGTGTTAGACTTTGTTGCTTTAATTGTGAGGTTTACCTGCCGAGGATGTAGCTGGTGTCTGAGCATGTTGACATGGAGAGGAGTGAGGTGGCACTGTTTCTGTTGGGGTGTGACAGTCGCAGGGATCCTTGGGAAAAGGGTATGTCCTGCTTTGGTGAGGGATTTCGTCGGGGAGCACTTCCACATGGCAGCGGAGGCAGGGACCTCGTAGGGGAGCTGGAGAATACCTGCGTACCTTGGGTCCCATAGCTGAGACTGCTGTGCGCAGGGATGGGTATACTGGGTGACATAGATCCGACCATGGTGGGCGAGGGGCTGGAAGAACATCCTCTTGGGACCAACACGCAGTCAGAGACGTCTTCATCTGAGCATGAGTCAGCTGAGGATGGAGAGTGTGTGTGAGCCAAAATGCTGAAAAAGTTATAAATGCTGTGAAGGATGTGAAACTGATGCGCTCAGTGGAAAAACCCTGCATGTTCCATGATTTCTTTGAATTCATGCTTTGGTTTTCTGATAGCAAAATGGGCTTGGCCTCCATATGTAAACACACATTTGTGTTATTCATGCAGCTACCTGCCTGCTCAACTCAGGCCATGCCTTCCAAACTAAATTCTTTGGATTGTGCATTTCTGCTCTTGCGATGATTCTGAATCACCTGGAGGAGTCTCAGCTTGTTCTTGTGTGCTTGAATATCTGTCTGCCTCTTTGTGTTGATGGGTATTGAGTGAGTTTATGCCCTTGGGAAATCACTGTAGCCTGTGGTCAGTGTGAGCCAGACGTGTGGCTTCTGCAACCAGAGTTACATAATGACTAATGTTCATACAGAAATAGCAAAATCCCAAGTCGGCACTGTGATGAGTATTGTTAGAAGGGGAAATACTGTTTTGCAACAATAGGAAAGGAGTACTCATCAACACTGGATTTTCTGTCTTACTGTTTAACATTACTGTTTTGTTTGATTTCTCATCACTGTTGCTTGATTTCCCTCAAAATTTGTTTGTCTCCTCAACGCATGGCGCTCAGTTTCACAAGCATATGACTAAACATCGTACAAGAAAAGATGAACAGGAAATCCATTCATTTGCTTTGTTGATTCTTTTGCACACTTTCTGATCAGAGCTGGTCTGAATGAAGACACTTACTGTCCCACCCTCATGTGTGACTTCTTGGTGAGCTTCACTTTGTGTGTAGCCCAACAAGTGCAGGGTGTGGTACTAGTCTGGGCGGTAATCCCAGAACAGATGAAGTTGTGCAATTACCCTGTGATTTAAAAAAAACTATCTCAAAAGGGTGGGTAAATTTCCAAAGCCCCGGGCTCTGTGTACTGTTCGTTTTATAAGAGTTGCTATGGTTTTACTGCGCTCTGTGTCACACCTCTGTAAGTGTAAGCTGTCCTGTGTTGCACTTTGTTGACCTTGTTGATGAGTTAGAATGTGAAGAACACTGAAATGCAAAGTGGCTTCACGGTTGTACAGTACCTGTAGGAGGGCAGATGTACGACGGACTTGTGTTGACCTGGATGGGTTCAAATGTCGGATCCAGTTCCATGATGAGCTGGTTGAGATTATCCAGGGAAATGTCGAGATCAGGGTCACCATGGTCACCACTGGGCTTTGGGAGACTGGGGTGTTGATTGACCGTCTCCTGCGCTGAGTCCAGGCGGATAGTTTGACCCACTCTCAGGACGTGATTGGGAATCATGTGGGACATGCCTTTAGCTGTAGGCATCATGTTAGGAGAGCTCACAGTCTTCTACTAAAGACAGGAATACAATGAAGAGAGATCAGTTACACTTTTCTTCACTGGAATAACTGTCTCGCTTTTGTCCTCTTTACAAAACAGACCCATCATAAGCATTTTTTCCTCATATTACTCATATTACTCATACTCATACATAAAAGTGCATCTGTTATGCACTATACATAAAGAACCATCTCAAGTTTTTCATTGTTATTTCTGGTGATTAAATAACCACTTGCCAATATTTGCACTGCAGCATCAGTCAGATTTTAATAAGAAATGTTCTTTAGATTTTATAGATAAGGTTTTTGTCATTGCATTTGTACAGTGTTGTCTTGTATTGGGTTAATTCATCACTGTAAATGATTATGTAACCTTGATTCCATCATACTGACATTAACTGAACTTAAGTGACAAATAACTTGAAAGTTGCTGTGGCCAATGAAGAAAATAAACAGTAATGTGTGTAAGTCAGTACATGTAGCCCAAGGCTTCCTACATCTATGCATCAAACCACTCTTTGAAACATGAAACAGTCTGAGTAACTGTCTTTGATGCTGATATCAGCATGATGAATAGCAGTTCGAGAGGGGTGTGTAATATGAGGGATGATCAGCTCATGCTGTTTCTCCCTCTGTGTTGCAGATGAGGCGTGGTGCTCAGTGACTCACCTAGGTGACTGATGGTTACCATAACTACACTACTGTTTTCCTACAACAGCCAAAACTTTCACTGTGAACATAATAATTTTTAAAAGTAGCAAAATAGCAAAAAGCTGCTTCAGATCATTCAGAAAATGTTTACTTCTGAGAAGTGCACACTAAGTTTCACAAAGTTTCACCTTGGTAAACAGAATAATGTGGCATGAAATACAACTGGCATTTGAGCATAATGCAACTTTTGAGTTATTCAGTGCTTTTCATTTTAGGTAAGGAGAACGTATAATACATGTGGAGGATCATAATTTGTTTTAACATAACTTGTCTGTGCTACAAATTGCTGCAATGACAATAATAAAACACAGACTTGATTAATAATGAACTGGGAGCAATCCAATAAAAATGAAGTACTGTTAGGTCTATTTGTATATTCTATTACAATTTCTTAGTTAGGTAAAGGTAGGTCCTCTTACCTTATCTTCTTCTGGTCAGGATTCTGCTGCTGTAGTGCTGCTGTACTCTCAGGCTGTGCACTGTTTTTTTACTTTGACATTTTAGGTGCTGCATGTTTTTATCAATGAAATCCCAACCCTTTTCCCAGTGAGCCTATCAGCAGCAAGGATCACTAATCCCTGTGGCTCCAACTGATGTCATCTCAGCAGTGTAGAGTTTATGGCTGGAGGGGAGTTCATTTTTTCAACAGTGAAATCAGATGAGTAAACAAAGCTGTGACTTGGTCTGCACCAAAAGAGGTAGCACATGTACACGTAATGTTATTCCAAAAAATTACTTGTAATGATGTGCTCACTCGCTCATAACAATTTCAACATGAGCATGATATAACATGAACCTACTGGGTGCATGTAGCTGTGGAGTGTGTTTGCAGTTAATACTGCGTGTTGTAGGAATTGACTGCACTAATCCAGTGTGTTTCATTGTCATCTGCCATCCTTCAATGACTCAAAGTATCTTTTTATCTGATTTCTGATTTTAAGACAAAGTCAGTATGATTGATGAGTTAATTAATGCTACTGAACATTATAATTTTGTTCCCTTACTCATAACTGTGGCCACACTGATGTTTAATAATTTTTATCTCTTAGCTTAGGTCAAGGAAATATGATTAACAGTTAGTCTAAATAGACTAACTAGTCTTTCACTGACTTAAACTAGCAGATGATTTTGTAATTGTTTTAATGATGCATGTTGGTCTTCATGTCAAGTGTTTCTGCTCTCCTGAATGTTAAAGCCAGTAATCTCCTCAGATTAATGACCAGATCTGGTGTGTAAAAGAATATGGAAAGATTGAGTGTGGTTAGAGAATATCTTCTCGTCGTTTACCACTCTCAGTTGAGGATTTTGTTTAATCATATGATTAAGATTTCCCGAGGTGCGCAGATTTTCAACCAACCATAAACCTGTTACTCACTGCTTGTAAAACTAGAAGAGCTCTGAGAGTGCAGACAAGGCCAAGGCCAAGGCCTGTGTCAAACAGCATACACCAGACTTCATAGGAAAAAAAGAAAAAATCTAATTCATAGTGAAAGATCTAGATCTGCCTTAAAATTGAATAAGTTCTTCCTAGTCTCATGGATCATCCCTTTACTGTGCAAATTAGTTCAGAGCAGTTTGTACAATATTTTTCCAATACAATCATTTTACTCCTACTGTCCTTGACATTTTACTTTTTGATTCAGCAGAGAATTTAAGTGCGTTTTTTTTTTTTTTGGACAGGACAGTATAGAGAGACAGGAAATGGGGAGGCAGAGAGAGAGGGAATGACATGCAGCAAAGGCCGTCCGATGCGGGACTCGAACCGGGGCTGACTGCAACGAGGACTGCAGCCTCTACATATGGGGCGCCTGCTTAGTCCACTACGCCACTCGACGCCCCTTAAGTGCAGCTTTTAATTTGAATATGTTGTCTGTCTGATTTTCTGAAATACCTCTTTTTTTTTTTTTCTTTGTTTTTTTGACTGTGTGGGCGACACATTATGTTTTCAGGTTGTCTGCCTGTGCCATTCTCGTGAATGCGATATCTCTAACGCCTTAAGGAAATGTATTCAAATTTTTGACTCAGGGATAAACTGATTAGATTTTGGTGGTCAAAGGTCAAGGTCATTGTGACCTCATAAAACACGATAATTATGACGCAATTTAACACAAATGTCTAATAGAATAAAATGAAGTGATGTTCTGCAAAAACACAACATTTTTCAATGCTGTAACTCAGGGAGGGGAGATTGCGACCATATTTCCTGCAGCCTTGGCTGGTTGGCGGAGGTGTACAACATGAGGCGGGCGTTCTTGTTTTCCAATTTATCAAATCAGGTGTTCATGATAACTGTTGATGACAAAGTGCGTCATTGTGCTTGCATGACTCATGGAGTTTATTAAGGGTCAATTCTTCCACCATTATATTTTTTCCCTCTACATGATTTTTGTTGGGCACATTATCTGCTGCTGTGTCCTTTTATTATTCTCATGCTATCGTTGGAATGAACCTTTCTCTGAATTAACCTTTCTTCAGTTAAATCTCAAAGACTGTAGAAATTATTTACTACCACTTAGCTTTCCTGGCTACTAAAGGTTGCTACTATGAACACAGGGATATTTTCATCCCCAGTTGAACTTTTACAAATATTTGGTCAGTAGTTGTTGTTTTTCTGTTCACACACACACACACACACACACACACACACACACACACACACACACACACACACACACACACACACACACCTCACTGCTGCAGAAGGTGACAAATCAAGAAAGTGAAACAAATCTTTTGTGGTTGTTATGCAGTTTGGACACAGACTCAAGTTGAACATGTTTGTGCTGTCGTGGCTTGAAAGGTTTTATAACAGTAATGTCAGAAACTGTTAAGACCTGTTTTTCCTTTGTGTTTGAGTGGAGTTTGCATGTTCCCCTCATGCCTGTGCGGGTTTCCTCAGGGTACTTCCTACTTCCTCCCATTAATTATGTTAATGCAGTACTTAGATACTGATGTAGTCAGTCCATCTGAAATCTTGTTTTAGTTTATTTAATCTTATAGAAAAGTAAGTGTCTTACAATATTGCAAATAGCTTACAATACAGGAAAAATTTTATTATATAGAAAATATATATTTCAATATAACTTTATGATAATCAACAAACCAGCTCTGATGTTTTTATTAAGTTTAATGTACATGATTTGGTGGAGTAAAAGCACTATATATTTTTTCCATTAACAGTGTTGAAATACTGTACACTGTAGCCAATACAAAAAAATAAACACAAAGAGACAACCAAAAAAAAAAACCCAGCAAAGACCAACATACTTGGCTTTTATATAACTTTTGCTATGTACATGTAAAATATATTGTTGACTTGAGACTTTAGTCCTAATGTTCAGCAGCCCACTGTGTGGTCTGCAGGTGCCAACAGGCTATCATCCATACTGAAACAGCTTTAAGGAGAGAATGTGGTGGTTGTCTCAGTGTCATTGGCCGCTGAGCTCCTCCTCCTGCCGCAGGTATACTTGAAGAACCTTTCCCGGCTCATGCATCCCAAGTCCTTCAGTAGCTTCAGGAGGTCATAACGAAACTTCACACCAATAAAGGCATAGACAAAAGGGTTTAGGCAGCACCTGAGGAAGGCCACACACTGGGTGACGTCGGCGGCATAGAGGAGAATGTTCTCGTAGTTGCAATCCTCGGTTCCCCCTTCTGCTGTGACAACTGTGGACCAAAATAGGACCAGGTTATATGGGACCTGGCATACCAGGAAGACGGCTACCACAGCGAGAATCACCTTTATGGCCTTATTCCGTTCAAAGTTACGAGCCTGGCAAAGGGTCTTGACAATGCTGCTGTAACAGAAGCTCATGATCAGGAGTGGAAGGGCAAAAGCCAAAACTATCTGGCTTGCCTGGAGGCTGACGCGGAGCTGATCATTATTGCTTGTGTAAGGGGTGCAGGTGTTGTTATTGATTGTGGTGTACGTCATTTCTGGTATGGAGAAGATCAGTGCCATAACCCAAATGATAGCTGATGACACTTTGCTGAGAAACACTGCCTGGGAGCGGTGGCGGTGAGCGGAGACTGCTTTGGAGATGGCGAAGTAGCGGTCCACGCTGATGAAACAAAGAAGGAACATGCTGCTGTAGAAGCTGACCTTGTAAATAGTGTGCATGGCCTTGCACACCAGCACACCCAGCACCCATTCTGCCATGGAGTTGGCTGCCCAAAAGGGGAGCGACAGAGCGAAGAGCAGGTCTGCAAATGCCAGGTTGAACAGGTACACATCCGTCATGGTCTTGAGACGCTTAAAGTAGCAGGAGGTGAGGATGACCAGTAGGTTTCCTGTCAGCCCCAGGAAGCAGATGATGGTGAAGAAGGTGGACATAAACCAGAGGCGAAAATGGCGGTTGGATTCTTTCACACACAGCGAAGGGAAGTCATCATAATTGAAATCGGAGTAGTTATATTCCGAGTAGTTCATGGTGGTGACATTCTCTTCATGCTGAGACAAGGAAGACTGTAATCAAAGACAGATTAAATGATCAAATAAAAGCAAGTAACAAGCAAAGTAAGCAAGCCACGTGTAAATCTGAAAAATTCAGCTACCTGCTTTTCAATGGCCTGTGAAACAGTTTACTCTGGTACACCTTTACTTCCTTAGAGGAAGTGGTGCTTTTGTGAGTTTAGGGCTGTGGTAGTGATTTTCACCTCTGTGTGGATACAGATTGCTGCAAACATTATGTTATCTTTCATATTTACATACAACTAATAAAAGGTGTGTATGTGGGGCGTCGAGTGGCGTAGTGGTCTAAGCAGGCACCCCATGTGTAGAGGCTACCGTCCTCGCTGCAGTCGGCCCCGGCTCGAGTCCCGCATCGGACGGCCTTTGCTGCATGTCATTCCCCCTCTCTCTGCCCCCCCATCTCCTGTCTCTCTACTGTGCTATCAAATAAAGGCATAAAAAAGCCCAAAAAATATACTTAAAAAAAAAAAAGTGTGTGTTTCTTACCTCAAAATTCATTACCCATATCAGCACAGCTGGCAGAAGGTTTTGCAGACCTGAAAAATTGAGTCAATTTTTAGAAGACGAAGCACTGCAATAGTATGATCAAAACTGAAGCAGCAAAATGTCCACATATTCTTACCCTCAGTCCTCAATATGGGTCAAACCCCAATAACACTGCATCCAACCCTTCCCATAAAGCAACAAATATCTGCTTTTCATTAGACCCTATCTGCCTCGTACATGCGTACATCTTTCATCACCCCAGTTTGTAACCCAGACTTTCTGCTATAAATGTGTAAAAGTCTCAAAGCCCAAAAGATAACTTAATGACATCATTAGAGTAAATTTCCTGGACTTCACAAAGGTCCTCCAGAGCTACAGAAGACATTGTACAATTGTTTTCTCAGACTCAGCACTCCCCATTGTCTAAGTGACCTTTATGTGGATTTCCCCTTTAAATTCTAGTGTACTGGTTATATTTTCTGATTTGAATGTGTTTTCAGATCATTGGTGATGAAGCCTTGTCATGTAGTTTCTTATACTCAGTTCTGTATTTTCAGTTCTGAGGTGTAGCCATTAGTCATAGAGTATCCAGTGATTGACAATGATATATTCAATGTGATTTTTTTTTTTTTTACAGAGTTCTCACTAATTGCTATTTGGCAAATTTAGATAAAACAAATCTGTTTAAATTCTTTGCAAGTAATTGTTCTTTTCAATAATAATGTTAAGCAAGTACTACTGTTTAGCACAGTGATTTGGCAGATCTGTGCTACCCCAGCAGCGATGTTGACTGATAAACAACTGCAGACATTAAGTTCTAACTGTTATACGCATACATGAGGTTAACCTCACCAAACGTGCCTGTTGTCACATTGCACTCCTTAAAAAAACAGCTATTACAAAGGATAGAAAGATAGTAGCATGTTACACATGGGTGTTCATGTTACACATAACTGATTAAACAGTATTATAGCAAACAATAACTTTCCCTGATAAATTTTTAATAATTTTTTTTCAAATTAACTTTTAATTAATTGAGCTTATCCCTTTAACCATTATTTTAAGTTGCTTTTGTAGAAACATTAATTCACCACAAACTCTTAGTTAAACTCTGATGAGGTACTCACCACTGACAGAAGTCATGTTGACTGAGAGCAGTACGCTGTAGGTAAAGCCACTAAACACCGATGAGCTGAATGTCTGTTTGATGGTGGTTTCCCTTTTGATGAAAAAAAAAAAAAAAACCTTTCGTGCTGAAATTTTTTTTCCCCAGCCTTCAGGTATCATGTGAGAAAACTCAGAAAACCACCATCAGACTGAAATATGAGCAAAAAAAAACATTTTTTTCAAGAGTTAAAGGATACAACTATAACCACTCCCTGGAGCTCACAGCTTCAAGTTCATGTGTTATCTGTGTTTTGAAGGAATACAAACAATACAGAAATGTCCCCTGTCCTCAAAGACAAGGAAACATATGCACATCTCATGTGTAATAGAGCATTTTTGTTATTTGCAAGGTTTGGTGAGTTTTTAGTTAAATAACCGGAGTAGCCACAACTCATGTTTCCATGAAAAGAACCTCAAGGACTACCAGAGAAGCATCATATGAGTTTATGTCAATGTCAATGAGTTGTTTCAGGAAAAAACAGACACTTTGATAGTGATAGTGACACCGTGATTATTCGAATACTACACACGTTAGTCAGTAGATAAAGATCTACCACATATACATGTAAATTGACTTGATAGCTCTGAATTCAGTGGTTGAAAGTTTTGTAGGTGATAAGATAAAACAACTATGCATACATTTTTACTTTTTTACTTACTTTACTTTTTAAAATCTTTTTTATGAACATAAACACAGTTTATGAGACACTGTTCAGCCCTCAATATTCAAGCTGTTCTTTACTCAGATTCATTGGACTTGTTTTGTGTGACCATAGTATGTAGTAAAATATTGACATTGATGACAGCTTACATGTCCTATAAAACAATTTAGTTTATATATATATGTTATTTAGATGTATTTCCGACAGCACTTGTTTTTGTATTAGTTCATAACTGTACATATGCAGGTGATGTAGATCAAGCCTTGTTGTCTTGGACAGCAGATGAGGCCTCACAGAAGTACCCTTTTGCCCACTAACTCACAAGTTGTGCACAAGCTTCTGCACACCTGTATCTTTGCGGTTGTGGTTTTCTAGCTTTCACTTGAGGCAGTGCTAAACCGCAGAGTACAAAATGTGTCAAGTTGCAATACATCTTATACTTTGCGTTTACTATCACAATTGTTCATTACACCTCACAAGAGGCTAAACTATATATCTCATCAGTATCCTGTATAATCCTGTCAGGTCATTCATTTAGACAGTAACGCTGAACCTTACTTAAACTGAACCCTCAGGCTGATTGCTAGTTCTGCAAAACAGGAAATCGAAATAATTCCCTCATCTTACCCACTTCCCTTACCTGTTCTGTGCAAAGGACAAAAGTGCTCAATGCAATGAATGTATAGTGTGCATTATAGTAGGTAGGCGTACTTGTTTTTTAATCATTTACCAAGCATGCTTACTCTAATTTACTTTTTATCAAAGCAAGTTAAAGGCATGTTTATGCTGTAAATGCACGTTTATATTTATTCATAGCAAGATAGTCAACATCAAATGTTTTTCAAAAACAACTGAAGTGAGAACTTGTTCAGGTAGAAAAGTTTATTGGTATAAATATGCAAAAGGAAATTCATTTTAAGACTGCATGTTTATGACTGCTCTTCAAGCTGTTTTACGACAACATGATAGTCCATGTTTAAGCAAACCTCGTTACACTGTGTACACAATTACGGTACATTTAAAAGTTTTCTGCTGAAAAGTTCAATATTGACCATAACACAGAGATGTTCTAAGCGTACTGCTTTTGATTTGATTGACAGCTAGCAAACTTGAGAACACTGGTAGTTGAGCATTGTACAGCACTGATGATCATGTGATATACTTATGGATGGACTGGACTGGGCCCAGGACAACCAATACACAAGTATAGTAAAAATGCTGATAATAAATAACAAAAATAACTACTACTAATGACTACGAACTCCTGAGACAATACTGTCACTGTAATACTGATACAGAGAGTAAACAAATATTCTCCTTCCAAGGAGATGGTCACTCAGCTCCACTCTTCACAAGTATGCCAACATATTTAAAAAAATTGCAACATGCAAAAATAACAATAAAAGCAACAATGACACTACAATACAAAAGACAAAGTTAAATATAACACTCAACAATGTTTGTTTCATGTGACAGCTCTTTTCATACAGCCAGTCTTAATTCGCGACGATCTGGGATCTGCCAGACATAGTGCTAGAGATATGTATCAATATGTGCTGAAGAGGGCTCGTCTTCCAAATGGCAATGAGGCCTGTGGAGGAAATATAGTGTTTTCACATGGATCGCTGCGGTGCACACATCAGCCACTTATTTTAGACAGGACCATTGGTTTGTTGGCTTCAAGTGCTTTACATTTTTCATTTATTTCTATTCAGCGCATGTCTGTGAGCCTTGGTGTTTTCAAACTAAATCATCATCTTTGCTTCAGGCTTGTTAAACATTGAACCTGTCTGAATGTCTTCATATACTTTGATAAACTGAGATGATACTGTGCAATATATATTATCGGAGGATTGTAGGTCAACAGACGTATTAACAGCCTTACAGTTCACAGACAGTCAGGTGTTGGACTCAGTGGGCTGCTCTTGCCCTGCTGGGCCCCTCTGATGGCTCACTAGTTGGGGCATCTTCTGTTTGAGCAGAGGTGGTCTCTGAGCCAGTGTTACTGTCACTGGTTCCCTCCTCCATGGCTCCCTCTGGGACACTCTCCTTGTCCTCTGACGCCCCTTCCTCACTGCCTGGATGAGCCTCAACCTCCTCTGGGGCCTTTGGCTTCCCTTAGAAACAGAAAGAAAAGATTTCATGACGTAAAAATCATGACGTCTCACAAGAGAGCCAGCTGGCACCAAAGCTACATATAGAGGTCAGTGTGGCTCACCTGGTGCATCTGTGGTGTTTGATTCTGCGTCCTCACCCTCCTTGTTGCTACTTTCACTGAGAGAATTTTGCAGGGACTTGTTGCCATGTGTTGCACAAATGTGTTTTTCTTCCTCTGCTAAGACACAGGTGGGGGCCTCTCTTGCACCTCGCTCTCCTGCATCCTTCTCACGTTCTGCAATCCGTTTGCGGGCTGCCTCCTCTGCTGCAGCAATCTCTGCAGAGATCTTCTCCATGTCCACTTCCACCTTCATACAGCACAGCTAAACAGTACAGTAATAGGGGATTTAATGTAAACAGGTGAAAACAGTAGCTTGCTGTATGTGCACATTTGAATTTTTTGTGTGTAGTTTTGGCTGAACATGCATGAGCAGGTTGGACACAAAGTAAGAACTTCATCTGGTTAAATAATGTAAATGAATTAGCATTAGAATTAGTTCTCCTCTTAACTTTCGCAGTGTTTCGGTACATGTTCAGTCTTGATGCGACTTTTCACTCAAGTGAATGGATTCTGTAAAGGCTCTGTGAAGGATAAATGGCGCCGCCTGTTGTGAACAGTGGACAGTGCATTGCACTGCACAGTGCTGCGTCTCATTTCAAAACAACAGTTATTATAGGGGCTACAAATTGTAAATGATGACAGCAATATGATTGCCAGAACATGTGGCTTGCGTTAGCAGCAGCTGGTGGCTGTAAGGCAGATGTAGACTGGCACATAACCAGAGCTGCACACTGTACAGTTAAACATGCAAAATGAAGCTTGCGTGCGAGTAAGTGATGACCAAGTTCGATGTAAAAGATGCCGTACCCTTTTGAGCTCATTTGTGAACGACTCTGTGGCTTCGATGAATTTTCTTTTCTTGTCCTGGTGGCGGTCTTCAATCTGAAGCAACTCTGCCTCCAGCTTTCTCTGTTATACAAGACACACAGGCACCAGGGTTATGACAATATTACGCCACAAAAACAAAGCTGTCACTGTTATATGCCACCATTACGTGAAGATCAGAAGACCACAACTTGATCATACCTGGTGTACCATCAAAGACTGGACCTGGCGTTTGAGGACTTGCATGCGAGCAGTGGTAACAACTGACCGCACATCTGGGACTACACTCTCACTGAGAATCTCACTGATCAGACGGTGGTTGCGTTGGAAACGAGCTGCAGCTGAGTGCTTTATGGAAAACCCATCATCGTAATCTGAGGATATGAAAAACATCTGAGTTGTCATAATTGTTTGAGGAAATATATTTTTATACACCTGTCAAAAGGCACAGAGAAGAGCTAGTGTTACACAGTCACAAACAACGAGTATTAGAGGCTTCGGCAAACTACTGCACAGATGATACAAAACAAAATGATGCAAATACTGCTGTATCAAGACACTGTAAACATAAGGAGGATATTGCTCAATATTTAGAGTTAGAGTTAAGTATAGGCCATTATGTCAAAATGCATCCTTAGGCAATGCAGAACCGTTATTGTTAGGTGAATGGGACAAGTGGTTAATTATAACCCACTGTATGTGGACAGAAGTTTTGAGATATAGTCTGCAATTTTCATTTATCAACAAATGTTCGTCTTTGTCTTAGATGTATACTCATTTGCCATTTAAATACAGGCTGATAGTACAGGAAGGTAAAATCCAAACACTGTTCATCTACTGTGCTTCAATACAACAATCATCCCTAATTACTTTTTCCACACTCTGCTGTGATGAAGACTTAGGTCCAGATGGATTCTTTACTTTAATTTTTGTATTCAGAATAAAATACATAACTGCAGAACTTTTAGAATCATCTGTGACAGTAATTACAGCTTTAAATCTGATATTGAATTCGTGAGCTATCATTTTGGTGCATTTTTATTTATCAGTTCTCTCCCATTCTCCTTTGCTCAGGCTTTGTGAAGGTGTATAGGGAGGGTATACAGCTATCCTCAAGTCAGTTAAGAAATTTTTAGCATAATTCAAGACCCATTCCAGGACAGCACTGTAAGCAAAGCATGTCTTTTTTTAACAAAGACAACAAAAACCCGGTGTTGTTTTTCTGCAGTAAACAAGTTCTGTAATTGATCATCATCAAAAAAGAAATACAGCATCTTGGTGTGGAAAACACCATGGTGAGT